AATTAAAAGAATCTCATAATAAGGAGACTAAAAAATGAATGACATGATCTAGCAATGCACAAACAGTAATGCCAGAGTATAGGTTCATGATAAATGTGACAGCATCCACTCTGAATTTAAAAAATCATTTATAAAAATCTTAATATTATAATTTAGTAAGATGTCAGAATTCCTCTTGTGTAGATTAAAATGTACATAAAATCTGGCAACACGAGTGTGAACTTTCACACTAATACTTTCTAACACTTTGCACTCCTAAAGTCACTGCAAACATCCCAGAGATTAGCAGAGTCCAGAGGGGGTGAGGTCTGTTTGGTTTCCAGTTTTGAAAATTGTTTTAGCTCTGAGATCTTCAGGAAGTCAGACAAGAGAGAAAGTAGTAACAAAACAATCTCTTATATCTGAGCGATACTAGTAAAAGCCACACTGCATTTGTACACACATAACCCATTTCCATCCAATGCATATTTCTCTCACAAGCATACCAGGAATATTTAGTTTGTTTAAGGGTTTATTTGTGTCAACTCCACCCTGCCTTTAGACACAGTAATTATTTTTTGTAGGAGAAAGTAATACTCTATATTGTCACTTATTTCCAATGCTGACTTTTAAACCAAGATACTGGTTTCAGAGTACAGAGGAAGAATACTAAGGGACAGTAGTCTGGGTACAGAGCAGAACAACATCTGGAACAAGAGGAAATCAGTATTTCACAATTCATTGGGTATAATTTCCACAAAAAAATTAATTTATGCAGGAAAATATTTTAACTTTAAGGAATACCATTTAACATTCTAATACACAATGATTTGCCTCACAGTGATGTGGAAAGCATTTCATTTAACAGGGAGGCCTGTGCCTCAGCTGATACAAGTCCAAGAGTACTTAGTGACAGGGTCCTGGAAGAAACCTGAGGTGACATGCAGCGAAGGACTCATTCAGACAGGAATATTTCGGTCCACATAGGCTACACACAGAATCACAGAATCATAGAACTGTTTAGGTTGGAAAAGACCTCTAAAATTATCAAGTCCAACTGTAAATGTAGAACCAGCCAGGTCCACCACTAAACCATGTCCCCAGGTGCCACATCTACTGAATACCTCCAGAATGGTGACTCCACCGCTACCTTGAGCCACCTGGTCTAGACTGTCTGGCTGGACACCCCTTTTTGTGAAGAAATTTTTCCTATTATGCATGTGTTCGTTTCCTAAAAATGTTTAATTACTACCTACCATTCAGCCCCACCTTTTTCTACCCTTTATGGATGTTAATACACCATCTGCACCACAGTGGGATGCTTCATTTAACCATAAATGCAGGCACTTACAAATTATTGTGGTTTTGAAAAAGAATTATTTACAGACAAGACATTTTAAGAGACTAGTTTCTGCTTTAGAAATAACACCAGTGAACAGTTCAACAAAAAAGGCTTAAGGAACAATGCACAGACAAAAGGAGTCAGACAGATGAGTGCAGTAACCCCTTAAGCCAGAGCCACATCAGAAAGGTCATTACATTATCTCTTTAGTGCACATATGGTCTTTGTGTAAAAACCTTCTGTCCCACTGGTGAGGCCATACTACCAATATGTTACTGACATCCTGAGATATCATTTCAACTGCAGAGCTCATTTTCTCCAAATCCTTCATTTGGTCCTTACCAACTTTCCTGTTCTCTATAATAAAACAGCACCACCAAGCGAACTCATATCTGTAGCAACTGCACTGCTGAACCATTATATTACATACTTGGAAATCTGCAGGAAGAGGGAGAACTGAAGAAGCTTTAAGATTTCTTTTATGTACAACCCCCTGCTTCAATTTTCAAAAAGATTCTGTTCTCAAAATCACGGTAAGTATTAATGTTTATAGAATGCCAGTGATAACTCCATTAAAGATAATATACAACTGCCTTAGATGTCAGTCAATGCTCACAGCACCCTGGGACACTGTCCACAGGGTCCCATGGACTTGTATGACTTGAGTTTGAGTAACTCCTGACTCAACCCTCTCTAATGGTAGTTATTCCACTCCTTCAACCCTTGGAGTAATCACAGAGGCCTGGGAGACCTTGCTGATGAGGTCAAGACAAAGGTAGCACTAGGTACCTCAGACTTCTATGTGTCTGCAGTCACCAATCCACCCACTCCACCCAGTAACAGTCCCACGTTTTCCTTGTTCAGGCTTTTTCCACTAATGCAGCACTGTGTGTTGGCTTTGTGTGGCCAGGTTTTAGTAGTGGGGGGCTACAGAAGGATGGTGGGCTGCTTCTCTGAGAAGCTGCCAGAAGCTTCCTCCTTTTGTGCCTGTGAACATTTGACTATTCCTAACTAGAAGTACATAGCATGGATGCTGTAACTGATAAAACTTCTAGTCTTCCACAAAGTCAGGATGACAGGTACCTATGTTAGGTATCTTTATTCTTAATACAAGGATTTAATTTTCCTCATTAGATTTAAATGATTTATTTTTATTTTTATTTAAAAATGTAGCTTTGGAAGTCACTTAAAAGGAACTGGGTTTCCTCAATATGCTTCAAGTTCTACAGCTGTGAATGGAGGGACAATAAGGAATAAAACTAAATGCTGAGTGTACAAAGAGAAAACTTTTTAAATTTTCTCTTGCAGCACTAGAGAAAGCCACTGGGAATCAATGCCTGCTTCTCCAATGAGTTTTGCTTAAATGCTGGAGCTTGAGGGTTTGGGTTTCAGACAGTTGTGCACTTTGAAGAGTTAATATTAATATAAGCATTTGAGACAGGGATTTAGAACATCTGGTTTTGATACCTCTACAAATCTCTGTTGCAGTCATGGATTGTCCAGGCACAATGAGGGCAACCCCACAGCTTCAACAGAACAGCAGGTCTCAGCTATGACTCCAAGGCTCCGAGCTCAGCTAATGAAACACTAAGCATACATAAACAATTGATCCTTTTTGTCGGGGGTTAGCACTTGTGGCTTTGGCATACTCTCACCAAGCATAAGAATCTTGCCTGCAGCATCCAGTAACATAGACTACAAAGGTAGAGAGGCAGTGAAAGAAAAGACCAATCCAGCAGACAACTGACAGATAAGAGGTAGATGTGAGGAAATAACGTAACTGAGTGGCCAGGACATCACAGATGAGCCACTTAGCTAGCATGTCTGTGATGGAGGGTGCAGTTTCTGAGTTACCATAAGCCCACCTGAGCTCACTGTCCCTTCTGGACTTGGCCCTCTACCTTCAGAAGAAATGTTCCCCTCACACTTGTTTCCATTGCACCAGCACTTGTAGCTGCAAGACAAGTCAGATAAACACACTTAAGTCAACAACACAAGAAAAAAATGAGCAAATTCCCAGCAGAATCTGTAACCCGAACAAATTAGCAAGAATTCCTTTGACTTGGCTTCTACTAAATGAACTAAAATTTAATTCTTCTTATAATCTTTCTCAGAATAGGCAATTGTGAAGCCCACAATTCTTATTTTAAAACACTGAACCCTAAATGGTCTTCAGTTTTTGATAATATTTTGCTCCCCAATTAATCATTAATATAACACCAACTAGTACCATTAACATTATATAAATGTTCACACTCTAGGTTACATTCTATATGATTTCTTTGACCTACATCTTAAGCAACATACAGATTTACCTAGACAGGTATATATACCAGGTATACAGATAGATACTCTTAGGTATGCTGGAAGAAGATAAAATATTACTGAAACTAGTAATTCTTGAAAGAATCTCTTCCCTAATATGAAATGAAGTCATAATCTGTGACAAAAACCACCTTTGAAAAACACGTCTGAGTTCTCTACAGACTACTTTTAGTTTGAGAGAATGCTTGTGAAAATGCACTTTGAAAACATGACTGGACATTCCACACAATTATTAACCACTTTTTACAATAAAAAGATGAAGTTAAGTTTGTATAGCATATATGGCCACAGCTATCCTTCTGGTGTTTCCTTATTCTGTTTTCATTTTGTACTTTCCCTCAAGCATTCTTCATGAAAATGACTGAAACCTGTGTCCTTTCAAACACACACAGAAGAGATTTCTCTCCAAGGATAGGGATCGTAGAAGTCCATACAGAAGCATTTTCTCAGTCACATGCTTGATCTATTAAAGTAACCTTCAAAAATTGAAAGAATCTGAAAGCTGAATATTGTGTTATACACAAGTATGTATTAAGGATATACTGCACAGCTATGAAATTATTTCACTATGCTGACTTTCATTAATGTGCATTATTTGTCACTGCAAGAAATAGTATTTTCTAATACTTGGGAAGTAGAGAATGAATCTCTGATTCTATGCTGTCTAAGTGAATTATTTCTGTTGGCTTTTAGTAAGTCACAGAATACATTCAAGTTATTTCTATCAACATGGTAGGAAGTTAACTCCTTCTCTAAATAGGAGTGCTGAGAAATCACCGAAGTACAGAGCTTTAAATACCTTTTCCCATACTTTCAGAACCCTCTTGAAAGACAAAAGGGTTAAGGTACCAGCTTCAATCAAACTAACCTAAAGCTTTTGATTGGAGCTTACACTTAAAGACTTTTTTATTACTATTTAACACTAACACCTTCATATTCTAAACCAATACTTACAACACCTTAAGTCTATGCATAATTTAGCCTGAGAAGAATTAAACCTTCCTTGTGCTACTTCCACTTAAAATCTATATTCTTTCTGAATTATAAAGTACTTATGGTTTTTTAACAGATAATATGCAAATCACACAGAGGCCAGCCTGCTAAATGACAATGCACAAATTCTTGGTTTGCATGTTTTCCTTCATTTACATCTGATGTGTTTTTCTAAAACAGACATGAAATTTAGGCTAACCTTTCTTTCACAAACTGATGACTGAGAAGTTCAAGCATTCAGAACTTCTCGGTAATTTTGCATCTCTTGTTGCTAAAGATACTTAGAAGAGAGTATGTTGAACATGAAAGGTTTCATTCTTGATTTGAAAAAAAAAAAAAAAAGAAAGAAAAATGGCCAACACCAGGTTGGGTTTCTTTTTATTGTTAAAACATTAAAGCGTAACATTTCACCAAATACAAGAAAATTAGGGGTTGTCTGACATTACAAACATCTGAATCATCAAGAGAAAGTGTTGAGCTATACATAGTCTGATGTTAATCTATCAATTTAATGTATATTAGTACATGCTTAAAACATGGCCAAAACACAGAATCACAAAATAGGTACCTTGATGCTTCTAAATCTGAGACAAGTAAGTCGAAGAATTGAGTGCAATGAATTTCCAACAATTGACTATACACTCAATGACAACGTCAGGGCATCATTATTCCAGGACACTGGTAGTTTCTCATACCTGGCTCATTCACATTCAATTTAGTGAGAATTTTAGATTTGAGAACTTGATAAAAACATTTTGAAAAATACAACATTTAACAAATGTGAAAAAACAAGTTGTCTTCACAGGAAAATATGGATTGCTTGCCACTCCAGTCCTTAATTGCCTATACGTTTTACAAATCTTTACAAAACTATTTTGTATCCATTTTGGTTTCAAAAACATAGTACATCTGAAAAATAAAATATGACTCTACTGATGGGTAATACAAAGACATGAACACGTATTTAAAATGACTTTCAAAAGTAAATCTCTTCAGTAATACAGCTATAAAAGACAAGGTAAACATAGCACAATAAACCATGCATCTTCTGACTTGTCAGATCAGCTAAACTACTCGGTTAACATACAGTAACACTTTGAACACTTCTGTAAATTTAGCTTTTCTACCACAAGGAGAAAAAAAGATTAAATTTGTTCTTCAAGTGGTTCAAGGTTGTCCAAGTGTTTTTTAGGTGCATCATCACTATGACGGCTTTGGCAATGGGTTAAATGTTTCTTAAAGCCTCGAGGAAAATTTGATTCAAAATTACAACGGGGACACTTCAACAAACTTTGACCATGAGCAGCAACATGGTTTTTAAGAAGAGACTCCAAGAGAAAAGCTTTGCCACATATTTTACACTTGTATGGGCTTTGAACGTTATGCTTGTTAACTAAATGGTGCAAGACAGCACCTTTTTTCATTGCACGACAGCAACAAATTTTGCAGTAATATTTTCCCTTGCCACGCTTCATGTATTTTGCTATTTCTTCCTCAGAGATGAAAGCCTCTTTCTCTTCAGTAAACTGCAGCACACACTGTGGCTGCGTGGGAGTAGTTGCATCCATTTTGCTCTCTTTGCCATAATCAGATGACTCCATGTCATACTGCTCTTGGTCACTGTTGGATTCTTGTTCCTTTATCTCCATTGAGTCCATCTCTGTTTTCCCACACTCACTGATATTTAGCTCAGAATCTGAGTTCTCCTGGTTTTCCTTCTTGGGCTTCTTTTTCGGGCATGAATATAGCATGTCTTCTGGTGATTCTTTGGCTAGTAACGATTGTTCATCCTGTGAGAATAAATCATCCAGTGGTTTCTGATCATCTAAAGTGTGAGAGAGAAAGTCACTCTCACCAGATTCACTAGGTGTTTGGGGCTCAGAGAAAAAGCCTGAAGTAGACTTGTGAGGCTCGGAAAACAGGATATTCTTCTGGATTTCAGAAGGTACAGTAGTTTCAGCATGTCTCTGGACATCAGAGGATAAAGCAGCAGCAGGTTTCTGCATCTCAGAAAATACAGCATGCTTTTGAACATCAGGGGAAATAGCAGATTTCTGGGAGTCGGTAAAAACAACTTGTTTGGGTGTCTCAGGAGAAATAGGAGTAGGTTTCTGGGACTCAGTAAAGAGGCCATGTTTCTGAATTTCAGGAGATGTGGATTTCTGAGACTCTGGAAAGGAAGTAGACTCCTGAACTTCAGAGGAAATGGGAGCAAGTTTCTGGGCTTCAGAAAATAGGGCATGCTTCTGGACTTCAGAAGAAACAAGAGCTGATTTCTGGGTTTCAGAACACAGGGCTTGTTTTTGACCTTCAGTAGAAACAGCAGAAGTAGATATTTGATTCTGGGGCTCAGAAAAGACGGCACGTTTCTGGATATCAGTAGAAGCAGTAGGATTAGATTTACGAGACTCTGGGAACAGCACTCTTTTCCGAGGTTCAGGGAAAAGAGCTCGTTTCTGAATCTCAGACGAAGCAGCAGAGGTGGATTTCTGAGTTTCAGAAAAATACATAGATTTCCGTGACTCAGAGAGTTTCCAAGATTCAGGAGATACTGAAACACCAGGCTTACGGACCTCAGGAAAGAAAGGTGGCTTCCAAGAGTCAGAGGCAACAGTGTGACTAGACTTTCGAAGCTCAGGAGAAACTGGGGGAGAATGCTTCCATGTGTCAGGAGACAGAACAGGTTTCCAGCCTTCAGGGTAAACAGATGAGATGGGTTTCCATGGCTCAGAAGAAACAAGAGTAGACTTCTGGGACTCAGAAAAGGATGTAGACTTACATGAATCAGAAACAAGCCTCCTAGGTTCTGGCAACACAACAGGGCCAGGCCTTCGGGACTCAGGGGCAGACCTCCGGGATTCTACAGACACTGACATGGCAGGCTTTGGAGCCCAGGGAGAAATTGTCGAAGACTTTTGCACCTCGTGAGACCTCCAGGGCTCAGGGGAAACAGTCGGACCAGGTCTCCATGACTCTGGTGAAACTGCAGAAGCAGGCCTCCGGGTTTCAGGAGGAGAAGCAGAAGCAGGCCTACGCATTTGGGAGGGGTGCCTCCGTGGCTCAGGAGACCCAGCTGGGGCATACCTCCGTGGTTCAGGGGATGCTGCTGGAGTAGGTTTCTTTGGCTCTGGTGACACAGCTGGGGAGTATCTGCGAGGTTCTGGAGACACAGCAGGAGAATGGCGCCGGGGCTCTGGTGATACAGCAGGGGAATGCCGACGGGGTTCTGGAGACATTGCTGGGGAATGCCGCCGGGGCTCTGGAGACACAGCTGGGGAATGTCGCCGGGGCTCTGGAGACACAGCTGGGGCTGGCTTCTGTGGGTCAGGGGACACAGCAGGAGATGGCTTCTGTGGGTCAGGGGACACAGCAGGAGATGGCTTCAGTTGATCGGGGGACACAGGCGGGGATGGCTTCTGTGGATCAGGGGACGCCGCGGAGGCTAACTTCTCTGGATCTGGAGATGTAGCCTGGGCTGACTTTTCTGGATCTGGGGATACAGTCTGGCATGTATTCTCTGCCTCTGAGGAAGTCACCTGAGCAGGTATCTGGGGCTCTGGAGATGCAGAAGATTTCTGAAGCTTGGGGGAAACAACAGGTTCAGATTTGGGGAGTTCAGGAGAAAGGGCGGGTTTGTGCAACTCAGGGGAAAGGGAAGGTTTCTGTGGCTCCGACGTGACACTTTTTTTAGATGAATCTGAATCTCCTTCTACCCGCTGTTCCTTCCGCTCCTCATTCCACTTCTCAGGTGCTGCATGCTGTGCTTTGATGTGGTAATACACATTGCAATACATCTTGCTGGTAAAGAAGCATTTGTGGCAGTGAAACAGTTTTGCACTTTTTTGATAAAATATAAGTTTACCCAAACCAGCAGCATCCATTTCATCACAATACTCTGGGTGAACGGTACCCATATGAATTTGTATGTTTTCATAGTCCGTTCCTCTGAAGCTGCAGTGGTCACACTCCAAGCGTTCTGTGGTTTTACGGAGTATCTGCAACATGTCCATTTTTCTATGGTCAGTAACAGTTTTCACAGCACTGCACTTTTTAAAGATGAAGTTTCAGTTTCTGCAATAAAGGAAAAAATCTGTACAGTCAGTTGTCCATGTTAATTTCAACTCTGTCTTTCCTAAATAATCAGGTGCACTTCCCCTCCCATTTCCCTTTTTAGATAGCCTAAGTTTTGCAAAGGTACTAACAACAACATAAAGAAATACATAGGTGTCTCCAACTTCTGAAAGTCATTTTACATCAGCTGAACCTGAAAAAAACAATGCTAATATTTAATGATAGGCCTTCCAACCTCTGTAAAAAATCTGGAAGTAAAAGATAAAAAAAGAACCCAGGTGATACTTCATTTGATAAAACTGACTTGCTTTCTCCATTACACATGTAAACTGAAAACAAAAAGTACTTTGAAATACTGCCACTGAGATAAAGACATTTCAAAAACACATCTTCATCATTAAATTTCAAAACAAACTAGCAATTTTCGACGAAGACAGGAAATACATTCAAGAAAACACCAGCCTAAATCTTAGGCCCTGCTTTCATCTGTTAAACACTGTTTTCCTTTCACTAATTACATGAAAAACAAATGCTGTTGATCATAAAAACTTTATCTATTATGAAAAGAATTTTTCCTATTCCATTATTTCATTTGCTGCCCTAATAACAAAAATATATACTATTTAAGAAAAACAACAAGGTGTTTAAGAAAAACAACAAGGTGTTTTTTCCAATTGGCATCGTTGACAGTCCTATGTATCCAAAGCATTTTTTGCCTCACTCCAAAGATGGGAATTTGTCAAAATTATTGCATTTGTAAGACCTTAGAAAAAACCCAAACTAACAGCAAAATAACCCCAACAATAAACCAACCAACCAAACAAGCACTCCAAAAACAAACACAACCCCTCCCCCCCCAGAAATGCAGCATCTGAAACGCACTATTTCCAACAGAATTTACCTGGATCAGCGACTACAAAATCTGAAAACCATATTCTGTAAGTTATATTCACATAAAAGTGGAAGGTAAAAAGGAATATTTGGACATTTAAGTGAATGAACAGCCTCTCTTCTTGTAAGTTGAAATTAAACAGTTGTTTGATGATTATCATGCTAAGCTATCAGTCTAATTTTGGGGGGTCTTGTAAGACACACAGTTTCAAAACACTCAAAATCTTTGTGTCATTTTAACATTAATTTTCTTGTCGAAATAGATATTAGACTAAAAACAAATCTAAAAATATGCATTCAAGCAAGTTTTCTTAATTTATTCCTAAAGCATTTTTACCCTGGTTTCTCATGGAAATGAGGCTTACACAAACACTTTGCCCCACAGTCAATGCCAATCAAACCAGACAAAGCAATCCAGCCTTGTTTTACATTTCTACACATTTCAAGAAAATCAGGAACTGAGTAGAGAATGAAAGCAATGCCTCCACTGAGGCTACAGCCAAATATGTCACTTAACAGTGCCTGGTTCTGTTTAGCCTCTACACAAATGGTCAGTATGCAAAAACACGCAGAACAAGCAGTGTCTGATTCAGCTTGTAATTAGGGAAAAAGAGACAATTAAAAACACTACAGCAGTGAGATGCTTTGGGTTTGGGGCAGGGACAGAATGAAAGCAAATTAGCAGTGCTGCTAAAGGATGAGATGGATACAGCAAAAACACAAGAAAGAGGGGCAGGCTGAGAAGCAGAGGACACAAATCCCTAGGAAATGAAGGTTCACTAGCTCAGTTGCTCATGGAACAACTTTTTAGCATGCAGTGTGCATACACACTTCACATTAAGTCAAAAGAACAGGTAGATTTCCAATTGGGAAGTATAGCAGGACCACAGACAGAGCTTTAAGAAGGATCCTGCTTTACAACCATGAGACAAAAATGTACAGCATTCGACTGCAGTCCAGCTGCACGTGAGAAGTGAGTGCCCTGCCCCACAAACACTGAAGAGGGAGGACCTTTGGAATGTAAGTTGCAGTTTCCCAGCAATATTGGTAGCCATACAGAAGACAGTCCAAAATGTAGTCCACACCACAGTGTTGACAATGAAACACTTCCCAAAGTCTTAAAACAAACTTTTTATTCCCATAAAAGATCAAAACAAAACAGAAAGATAGCGTACAGTGGTCCATAACTGCAAGAGTAAATAACTTGACAATTGTAGAAACCCAAAGCACGTCACGTCTTACTTAACACTCCAAAAGACCTTCAAGTCTTTATGAATTACAGTTTATGTTTTGTTTGGGGGATTTGGCATGATGCTAGGAAAGGAAGATTTCAATTTGAAAGCCAAAAATTCTGAATTGCTTATACAAGCTAAATAAAAAGGAGGCTTTTTTTACCAAATCACAGTAGAACATAATTAGGACATACTGCACTAATCACATTTTTAGACTTGAAAGGGAATTTGTCAATTCCAAAACTGATGGTAATCCTGAATTATCCATTTTCTTCTCTCTAGAAAACAAAAAGGCTTTTCCAAATTGAAATTATCACAGTTTACAACAAAGTCTACCAGACAATCTTTTCTATGCTCTTCACAACTTCCCTCCCCTTTGCACATCACCTAACTTTTGCCATTTCTGCAGTTTTCTGTAATTCACTCAACCACACTTCACTCCCTATCTCCCATCCTCTCCTTTTATTCAGTTCTATCTTACCTTATGATGAAATTTTCCATCTTCTTTCCAAAAACAACAGTCAGAAAGAGTCCCTGGCTCCCCTCCAAAAATTGTCCAAGTTGCTGCTAGGCTTTTTTGACCACGAGACTATTTTGGAAACCAAAGAAGTTCCAAGCACGGCCCAAACATCCAAAGGTCTTGACATTCAAGCCTTTGGCATAAGAAATAACATTAAAGAGTTCTCACACTGCCATCACTCGGCATTTGTGGTTTTGTAACTTCAGCCCACTGTAGCTGGCAGTCACTGAAGAAACTGCCTCTTCTGCTGAAATCTCTACCTAATTAAGGCATACTACTGAGCAAGACAGCTCTTTGTTATTGCAGCATCTTAGGCCGTGAGTACCTGGAATAGTAAATCGAGTTTTAGAATAGTTACTGTGAGATCAGTAACAAACTTCAACAGTGCTGAGTACTACTAACTCGTGCTGTCAATTTAAATTTATCGAAACACTTCTGAAGGAATGAACGCTGAGATATTGCTGGTTCACTTGGTACATATCTAAACAGCTAGTCTGAAAGACTTTCCCGTCAATCCCTCCTGATCCCTTCTCACTTTGAGCTCCAATGCCACTGTCTCTACATGGCTCTGATTGCTGCTCTCCTCTATACCCAGGTTTATCACACAGGTAACTGTTTCCCATTGCTCTTTGTCGTCAACTCTGGCACCAGAACTTGTTCTGCACTAGGTCCTGTATTTGGGTGAAAGTGTAAGGAACAACATGTTTTCTAAACAATTCCACACCAGCAGAGCCAGCCAGTCTAGAAACCATATGCTCAGTAACCAGGCCCCCATGGCTTTGGACCTGCATGAACTATGATGCAATTTCTGCTCACCAGCATCTTTTTGGCAACACTAAGACAGATGGACCACACTTCCTCAGTGTAAATGAATTATAATAGACATTAAAGGGAACTAGATCTGCACTGCTCCAACTCAAACCCATAAAAAGGATAAGGAAAATAACTGGTGTGATCAATCTGTCAGGGTGCTCCATGTGCAGTGTCGAGAACAGGATCAAGTACTAAATCCAAATATCATTCTAGCCTCCTGAAGCCCTTTGAGGAAGAGTATGAATTTCAGGATGAAGATCAAATTGCCATGAGCCACAGGTCCCCCATGAAACAAAGCAGAAGGGGCATGGCCACTAGAGTATGTCTCAGGCCTGCTTGAATACTCCTGGGAGCAACAAAGAAGATGCCACCCATGCACGTACAGAAAACTGCTGTGCAGGCCCCAGGCCACTCTGTTTTGTCGAACACTCTGCCAGGCCATACATATATTGTCGAAAGGACAGTTGAGCATCGCACCTACTCAAATTCTCAGTTACAGGATGTGCAGTGCAGCAGTGGCTACAGCTGAGGCTGCTGCATGCCACTTCAACACCACAAAGCACAACGCATTCCTTAATTGGTCTTTCTGCATCCCCTCCTACTTTTCTCACTTGTCATGGCTGCAACACTGAGAAAACAAATACAGATGCAACCAAACAGAACTAATTATCTGTTCTGAAAACACAATAAATCGAAGCAGAAGCCTGAAGCCCAGCATTTATACTTGTCCTGTGTTTGCATCCTGCCTCCAGTTCAAGACAAAATACTATGACTGAATTAAGATTCTGGAGTTTGCAATACTAAATTTTAACTTAAGGTAGCCAAGACTCATTCAGACTTTTCCTATGACATGAAGTTTTCCACTGAAATCTACCTGAACAAGTGCTTCTGCCTACAAGCTCACTGTATCCACAGCTATCAAGCACAGTAACAGCATCACCACCAACTCAGCTCTTAGATGACCTGAAATGACACAAATCAATGGCCATCACTCACATTAAAAGCTGCTCAAAGAGACACAGAAGTCTCAGAAGTGGGACCACCAGTCTCTGCTGCTCCATAAGCCACCTCTCCCCATCCCTCTTCTTTCACACACTCTTCTATTCAGAAGACTGGTTCAGAGTGTACCCCGGGAAATAGCCCTTGAAACAAAGGGGCCCAGGAGGCATGGACATGCTTCAAGAAGGAAGTCTAGAACGCACAGGAGAAGGCTGTCCCGTGTGCCAAAAGGCAAGCCAGCGGGGAAGACAACTGGTCTGCCTGAACAGGGAGATTCTGAAGGAAATAAGGGTACAAAAAGAGTCTACCAATCATGGAAAAAAGGGCTGGTTACTCAGGAAGAGTTTAGGAATGTAATTAGGTCTTGTAGAAAGAAAATTAGAGACATGAAGGTAGACTTTGGACTCAATCTTGCCACTTCCGTTAAGGATAACAAAAAGTCTTTCTATAGATACATCAATAGCAAAAGGAGGGGCAAGGAAAACCTCCATTCTTTATTGGACATGGGCAGGAACCTAGTTATCAAAGATGAGGAAAAGGCTGAGGTATTTAACACCTTCTTTACCTTTTAAAAAAGTAAGACAGGTTGTCCTGAGGACAGCTGGCTTCTGGAGCTTGTAGACAGGGATAAGAAGTTGAATAGCCCCCCTGTAATCAAGGAGGAAACAGAGACCTGTTGAGCCACTTGGATCCTCCCATGTCTATGGGACTGGATGGGATCCATCCTAGGGTGATGACGGAGCTGGCAGAAGAGCTCACCAAGCCACTCTCCATCATTTACCAACAGTCCTGGCTTGCTGGGGAGGTCCCAGACGATTGGAAGTTGAGGAATGTCACCGATCCACAAAAAGGGCTGCAAGGAGGACCCAGGAAACTACAGGTCTGTCAGCCTGACCTCAGTGCCTGGCAAGGTTATGGAGCAGATCATCCTGAGTGCAATCACACAGCACCTACAGGATGGACAAGGGATCAGAGCCAGCCAGCACGGGTTTAGGAAGGGCAGGTCCTGTCTGACCAACCTGATCTCCTCTTAGGATCAGGTGACCTGCCTGGTGGATAAGGGGAAGGCTGTGGATGTCTCTATCTGGACTTCAGTGAAGCCTTTGACACCATCTCCCATAATATACTCCTGGAAAAGCTGGCAGCCCACAGCTTGGACAGGGACACTCTCTCCAGTTGGTGGCCAGTCATTAATGATGTCCCCCAGGGATCAGTTTTGGTTCCAGCTCTGTTTAATATTTTTAATGATGATTTAGAATAGAAGATTGAGTCCACCATTAGTAAATTTGCAGATGACACCAAGTTGGGAGGGAGCGTTGACCTGCTGGAAGGCAGGAGGGCTCTGCAGAGGGATCTGGAGAGTTGGGCTGATTCCAATGGGATGAGGTTCAACAGGGCAAGTGCCGGGTCCTGCACTTTGGCCACAACAACCCCTGCAGCGCTACAGGCTGGGGACAGAGTGGCTGGAGAGTAGCCAGGCAGAAAGGGACCTGGGGGTACTGATTGACAGGAGGCTGAACATGAGCCAGCAGTGTGCCCAGGTGGCCAAGAAGGCCAATGGCATCCTGGCCTGTATCAGGAACAGTGTGGCCAGCAGGAGCAGGGAAGTGATTCTGCCTCTGTACTCAGTGCTGGTGAGGTCACACCTGGAGTGCTGTGTCCAGTTCTGGGCCCCTCAGTTCAGGAAGGATATTGAGGTCCAGGAGCAGGTCCAGAGAAGAGCAACCACGCCGGTGAAGGGACTTGAACGCAAGCACTGAGAGGAGAGGCTGAGGGAGCTGGGGTTGTTTAGCCTGGAGGAGGAGGCTCAGGGGTGACCTCATCACTCTCTACAACTCCCTGAAAGGAGGTTGTAGCCAGGTGGGGGTTGGTCTCTTCTCCCAGGCAGGTATCAGTAAGACAAGAGGGCACAGTCTTAAGCTCTGCCAGGGGAGGTTTAGGCTGGTTATTAGGAAAAAATTATTTATAGAGAGGGTAATCAGGCATTGGAATGGGCTGCCCAGGGAGGTGGGGGATTGTCCATCCATGGAGGTATTGATGATGAGACTGGATGTGGCACTTAGTGTCATAGTCTAGTAACCATAATGATAGTGGATCAAGGGTTGGACTCGATCTCAAGAGGTCCTTACCAACCTGGCTGATTCTACAATTCTGTGATTCCATGTCTAGAACCTACATACAAAGGTTCCTACCACCAGCTCTCTCCTCTCTCCACAGAGATGCTTGAGATCTTTACACCAGCTCCTTGTCCCCTACACTGCAGTCCTGGCCATAATCTCCTCCATCACAGGAAGAACAGAAAAATAGCAGGGGGAAAGGATTGGTAATGAGGACATTTATCTACCTGAGAAAAGAACAACCATCACTATTTTCTTGCTTGGTTCTCAGCACCCAAGAAGTCAGAGGCAATGAGATAAATGCAAATTCAACCAAAAGTTGGTTACATATAATGCAGGGTAACCACAGAGCAGAGTTAAACAGCATCAGAAACCCCTGCTGAGCTCATGATAGACTGAGAAATAGGAGTGTCCTAAGCTAATGCACAGAGTAGAGATCTCCCGATATCTTCCCAGTTAAAACATACAGGCACTTCAAAAATAGTTCCTGGATTTCGCATCCCATCCTCCATAAGGATCCCACTAAAGATAAAGCCATAATTCCTGCAGCCTTTCAGAAACCTCCCAGTGGAAAAAAAAAGAAATGCACAGGAGATATTATATATGAGAAGGAATCCACACAGGGGATGGCACGACACTGACTCTGGCAGCGAACAACCTGTCTCCACTTCTCAATTGCGTCCCAACTGCATAGCTACAAGTCTACCAATCATTCCTGCTAATTTTTAATAAACACACTCTACACTCAGCATTGCAACATTTAATATACGCCTGCATTTTTCCTCTACAGAGGTTAAGCTGTAACGGTCACGAGGTAGCACCAGAGGGAAGCAGTCAAGGGCTCAAAACTAATGATCTAGACTGCCTGTGATCACAGAAAATTACAGGTTGCTTTTAATATTCCATGAAGAATTTCAGAACACAGCAACAAGTAGTCCGTCATATCATTGCTCAGTATAAGGCTGTCTTGGTTCTCACTGGCAGAAGGATCTGTAGTTCTTTCCCTGACAATAAATAATCAAGCCTGGTAAGACTCAAGCAGACAGAGGACATGCAACACACATCAATGACACCAACACAGCTGGGAAAACCCTCCAGAAGAAAACCCTGTGATTTTCTGCAATGCTCTACAACCATGCTGGATTCCCTGTATCAGCCCCTGCACAGGAAGGATCACTGTTTAATTTTCATCAGCCTTGGAAGTTTCATATAGGCAACCAGATCAGCAATATCCTTTATCAGTGAAGAGGGTCAATCGTACGTGTGTTCTCAGCACAAGGAAGCTGGATAGTTGCTTCACTGCCTCTGCTAACATGAGCAGATCCAGACTACTGCTGTGTTTAAGCAAAAGGAAAAGTGACATGTTCTGTGGTGCCAGAAAGTAAATGGCAGTCTGGTGGCAGCATGATGCTTCTCTCGAAGCTACATCCCTGTGTTGTGACTGACAAACAGAAGTTTAGCTCCCAGAGGAAGCTGCACACAAACATCCCTAGAGCATGGCAGAGCCGGCGCTTCACAATGTACATGGCAGGTACAGGGGTCACTTCCATCGCACCACGAACAAGACAGGCAGCACTATGCTCCTGCTAATCCAGAAGAGTCCACAGGAATCTGACTGCATCTTCATGTCTGAACTTCCAGCTAACTGCCGATCTATTTGGGCTAAGTTTCATGAGCAACAACTGCTGAACCAGGTCTTTAAAATTACACACCTAAACAAGGCACAAACACCCTGACCCAACCAGCCACTGAATGCTAAGATATGCTGAGAACATGGGAGACACCAGATGCAGGAATGAAAATGGTTATATTATGAGATTCCATGTTTTCAGAAAAGGTTCAAGTTACAGGATTGTTGCAAAGTGACAATACTTGATGCACACGCAAATGATTTGAGAAACAAAGGGGCCAGAACTGGAGCTCTTTTGCAAGATTTTGCTCTTCATTATGAGATTGACAATTCTCTTCATTAAGAGAATAACATTAGTTCTCAACACACGATCTAGTAACAGTCTAAACTGCAGAGTAAAATCATGTACCTACAACAGATTCGGGATAGAAAAAAATTAACTCCATGTAATTCTGACAAGGCTTTACAATTCCAAGTTCACAATTCCACATACATGGCTTCCAAAACTGGCCCCAGAAATGCTACTGCTGCAGTGCTGAACCTGAGCTAATTAAGTGCCACTGAACCCACCAGAACATCTAATCTAGTCAGGAACTGTGAATTAAGGTTGAGAATCTTGGTGACCCCAGGCTAACAATTTCATTTACACTGCCCTGAAAGCAAATGGGGTTCAAGGGGAGATTACGTAAGAGAAAAATGAAATCCGAAGTTTCTATATTCCTCCCTTATAAACAATTCACATAATCAGAGAATCAATTAGATTGGAAAAGACCTCTGAGATCAAGTCCAACTATGACTGATCACCACCATGTCCACTTGACCATGGCACTCAGTGCCATGTCTGATCTTTCCTTAAATACCTTCAGGGACAGTGACTCCACCACCCCCTAGGGCAGCCCATACCAGCATCTAATCACCCCTTCTGGGAAGAATTTCTTCCCAATGTTCAACCTCAAACCTGCCCCAGCGCTGCTTGAGGCTATGTCCTCTCATACTGTCGCTGCTTCCCCGGGAGAAGAGGCCGATCCCCACCTGGCTACAACCTCCCGTCAGGTGGTTGCAAAGTGATAAGATCTCTCACCCCTGAGCCTCCTCTTCTCCAGGCTGGACATCCCCCGCTCCCTGAGCCGCTCCTGCCAGGACGCGCTCCAGACCCGTGCCCGCTGTGAGCTCTGCACCTGCTTCCCCGCTCCCACGTGCGACGCACCCGCTCCCGGCCGCTATTTCTGTCACCAGGGAAGGGCCCGGTCCCGGCGGGGACACGTCCCGGGCCGAACTCGCTATCCCGGGACAGCAGGTCCGGCAGCGTGTCCGTCCCGCCCCTCGCCCCGCCGGCACCGCCGTAACTTTCCCGCGGGCAGGGGGTGCCTGCGGGCCCGGCGCTCCCGGCTCGCCGCTGCCCGGCCCTGCCGCCGCCGGGGGTCACGCCGCCCGCCCATTCATTCCCGCCCCGCTGGGCGCTCTCCGCCGCCGCCTCCCCTCTCCCTCCCTCCCTCCCTCCCGTGCGCGGCCCCGCCGGTTTTGTTCCCCCCACGCCGGTGCCGGCATCGGTCGCCGCCGCCCGCCGCGCGGCGGGGGCCGGCCAAGGGGAAGGCCCAGGCCCGGAGCGCAGGGGGTGTTGGAGCGCGGCGGGCCCGGCGGGCGGGAGCGGGATCGGGATGCGGAGCCCCCGGCCCCGGGCGCACTCACCCTCGGCAGCTCCGGGCGGCGGGCGCGGGCCGGGGGGCCGGGCCGGGCTCCCCCGCCAATGGCGGCGGCGGCGGCGGGAGGCGGGGCCGCGTCACGTGCGCGGCGGCGGCAGAGGCGGGGGCGGGGCCAGGGCCGGGATGCGGCGCCCGCCGGCAGGGGGCGCTGCCCCACCGGGGGCCCGGCCTTGCCTGAGGGCTCCCAGCGGGGTCTGTGCGGGATGGGGACGGTCACGGATCCCAAAACACGGGGGCACGGAAACACAAATTAGGTTAGAAAAGACCTCTGAGATCACTGAGTCCAACCTATGACCGAACACCATCATATCAACCCTGGCACTCAGCGCCATGTGCAGTTTTGCCTTCAACACCTCCAGGCATGGCGACTCCAGCACCTCCCTCGGCAGCCCATGCCAGTGTATAATCGCCCTTTCTGCGGAGAATTTCTTCCTAATGTCCAACCTACACCTCCTTAACTTAACTATATATAACATGTATTATGTATAAGTCAACACTAAGTTAAGCACTGCTTTAACACTGTCCTCTCATCCTGTCACTAGTTGCCTGGGAGAAGAGACCTCCTTTCAGGGAGTTGTAGAGAGTGATAAGGTTACCCCTGAGCCTTCTTTTCTCCAGGCTGAACGACCCCAGCTCCCTCAGCTGCTCCTCACAGGACTTCTATTCCAGACCCTTCACCAGCTTTGCTGCCCTTCTCTGGATCTATGCCAGCAGCTCAGCATCCTTCCCGAACAGAGGGACCCAGAACTGGACACAAGTGTGGCTTCAGCGCTGCTGAGTACTGTGTCCAGTTCTGGACCCCTCAATTCAGGACGTGCTTTTTGTCTTTTGGGTTTTTTTGGTGTTGTTTTTTTTAATTTCCCTTTTTTTTTTTTTTTTTTACTTTGCAGTGCTTTTTGTTTAGTGTGGAGAGACTCACAGAATCAATGAGGCTGAAAAAGACCCCTGAGATCATCAAGTCCACCCTATGACCAAACATCACCACATCAACTAGACCAGGACAGTAAGTGCCATATCCAGTCTTTCCTTAAAACACCTCCAGGGATGGAAAGATTCCCTGGAGGCTGAGGGGTGACCTCATTGCTCTCTACAGCTTCCCTAGGAAGGGAAGTGGAGAGAGAGGTGCTGAGCTCTTCTCCGTGATGCCCAGTGATAGGATATATGGGAATGGCTCAGAGCTGCCCCAGGGAGTTCAGATTGGACACTTGGAAGCATTTCCTCACTGACACCGGCCACTGTGTTAGGCAGCATTTGTCAGTGATCTGTTGCACCTCACCAGCTACTTGGATAGAAGCAGTATTTTTTCAGCAGTTTTGGCTAAGTTTTCAAGAAAATTAATCCCACACACACTGTGAAAATGTAACAAAAGTTGCAACCACATTGTGATCAACCACAATTACTGACTGATGAGGAATTTTTTTTCTTTATTCCACCTCTAGATCCCAGTGAGAAATCTAGCAACGCAGGCTGAGTACCTGCCTATTCTTCTGTGTTGTCATGTCCCAGGCTCATCTCCCTTTGACTATAGGTTATATATGAATTGTTGCCATGTCCTTTAGTTCAAACCCACCTTCCTTGTTCCCTGATTGTGTGTAAAGTCAACCCAAAGCCAGCTAATAACCTGTTTTCACTATCGTTCTTATTTCATACTGAGTTTTTAGTCTTTTTCTAGTTTGCCAGCTCTACTCACCCAACTCACAGTTTTTTAATTAATTTCTAGCTTCTGTAGTTTATCTAATAATTTCCATTTAGCGTGAACTCAAACACTTAATAAATTCCAAACAAACCAGGTGTACCCCATTTATTAAATTCTTCTTGGCCAAACTTTCTCTTTTTCCATGCTGTTGATATCTGTAGGTGATTTTGGAGTACTTGAAGGATTTCCTTTCAGCCCAGCCAAGAGGTTTTCCCAAAGAAGGTAAAGAAACTCCACGCAGGTTTTTTTTGCCGGATTAGCAACTACAGAGCAAGCATTGAACTAGAAAACAGAGATAGAAAACAGGGAATACATACAGCGCTAGAAAGCACTTCAGTGATTTTCTTTTTAATAGATTTTTTCTGTACTGTATGGTTAAACTTTTTTTGTAACTTAAGAACTTTTTTTCTTCTACATCTAGGGATTTCATTTGATTTAGGAAATGATGCTAAAATTTCATAGGTCTTCCCCCTTTCAGTTAATATTATTCTGAAGGATGCTTGAATATAGTTTGCAGTTCTAGATTATCTTTTTTTTTTCACAATCAAAATGTAAAAAAAGATCATATTCACTTGTGAACTCAGTGAAAATGTTAACAGTTTGAAGGCATGGAGTATAATCATACAAGACAGCTATTGTGTTTCATTCTATTCTTTCCCTTAGGCCTCTAAATTACTTTCTGAAATTGCCTTTTTCTTCTTATTATGTGTTAGTGACTGTAACTAACAAACCTGTTACCTAACATGGTAGCTATGGAGAGCTCACAATTCACTGGTGGTATGTCTTAAATACTCCTGAATACATTTCTATCTTATGTAACGTATTCCCAAGTGTTTTCTTCCTTGCTATTTGATCTTTAACTAAGGAACTTAAAAGTTTTCAATACACAATCAGCTTTAATGTTTGTATTGCAGAACACTATTATAAGTTAAGGAAACAACACTCAGTCTATTCAGTTTTGGAAGTGTTTCCATTTTTCCTTTGATATCCTGATTTTCTTGTCTGAATGCCTTAGAACATAATTATACACATATTCTTGTTTCTGGATGCTGATGACCTTCAACAGCAGACAAAAATGTGCAAGAACTTCCAGCAGGTAATGTCGGGTATCAGTGCCCATATTCAAGTTCACTGGTAAGAAACAATGTGAGTTGGAACTTCCCTTCAGTTCCATTCAGTAGAACCATCTGCATTTCTCCACAACAGAGTTGGAAAGCAGCACAACACAGGCCAGGCCCTTCATGCTGTAAGACCGCAAAAAATCCCACCTTCAAGTTTTATGCAGAATATTCATATTTCACGTTTGAATATATAAACATTTTTAAAGAAAAGGAGAAAAAAGAACCTTCAATTTCTGCATGTTTTTATATCTCCAGCCTTCTGCACATGCTGGGAGGCATTTATGGATCCTGCATGGACCATGAGTCAAACTGTCATTTTTGTACTAGCATATAAAACCCCTCTGAAGTTAGTCTTCACTCTCTCTCGGAGAATATTTATTTTTTTCCTAATCAAGGCTGCTAGTTGGAATTGAGCAAAGAACACTGCAGTCTGATGTCTTCTGCGTTTGTGTCAATTTGAATCAAAATACCACATTTACATATGTAACAGTAACGACCCTTTGATAGTATTTACCTAATTGTAGATGAGATATGTAAATAGGACATGTTCAGGAGATCAGAATGTAGCCTAATGAAGTGTAAACCACAAATTATATCTGGAAAATATTTATTTTTTAGTTATGTAGCAGTGAAGAGGTTTGGGAGAGTTAAACTGTTAACAAAGAAACCACCACTTGGTAATAAGATGACATTTTCAGTCTTCCAAGAAGAACATCAATGAAAAGCCCAAGTGGATGTGGAGAAGACAGAGTGCATGCCTCTAAGTCACTTGGAAATGATCAGATAAGAATCAATAGGTTTCCCATTTGTTTCACATATTCTTTCTTTCAAATGAAACCATTATAGAATGAATAAAAATAATTTGAGAATTTTAAGTTGCTCCTCTCATCATTGAAGACTCAAACAGCACCACCAACTCACAAGTCGTATTTCCCACTGATTTTTAACATTCCATCCGGTTTGGGAAGTACCTTTTTCCTTTTTTAAGCGTGTGTTATTTTGATGTTCAGTATCATTTTGTGCATAGTAAGTGGGTTTTGTCCTGTAAATATTTCAGGCTTTTGTTTGGGCTGTTCAGGACTAATGCTGCAAGTAGAGGCCAGCAGGGAAACTGCACGAAAAGCAGTGTTAGCTTAACCACGGCTGGTGAGATGAGCCATCGACCTGTAAAGACTCTCCGAAAACAACTTCCAGCCATTTGGTTTTAAATGAAAAGAAGTGACAGAATGTATTTAAAAACTGAATGTGATGTCAGTACAATGTTTTGGAATTGAATAAGCTTCTATTTAAAACTGCATCAGGCACAAATACAGGTTTATCTACTGAACATTGACATTCCACGTCAGTTTCCCCAATAGCTCAGGACAGAATGAAGCCCAATCTCCATTTGACAGACAGACAGGGTGATTTCCATATTCCTAAATGTCAGACTTTGGGACTCCATAAGAAACAGGACAACAGAAATTCAGTGAAGCTATCGAGTGGGTAATATTAAATGTAGAACACATTATTTTAATTTTTTTTTAATTATTAAATGAAGAACATTATATTTTAAAGGCAAGAAAACAGATGGCACCCAAGTCAGCTGCGATGTAATCAGACACAATTCCCATTCCATGGGGATGCTGTCTCTACTTTCAGCTAAGCTGAATTTGCAAAACAAAGTTACTATTGTGGCAATGAAGCTCTCACAGCACGCTGAGTTCACACAAAGGCAGGCTGTGAGCCTGCGTTTATTTGGTGTCATCGGGAGAAGCATAAAGGAATGAGTGAGCACAGAGCAGGTGGCAGCTCCTCCCGTCCAGCTGCCCCAGTAAGGGAAGCAGGCTCAGGCCCTGCTGCATTCCTGAGCAGGAGAAATTGGGCCGTGGACTTGGAAATGTGTTCTGCTTCTTTAGTCATTGTGTTTTACAGAATTACCATGAGATAACATGCTCGACTCCAGCAGGCAGTCTTCCCTGAAGATATGGCTGGCAGCACAAGCTCCCATCCCAAGGCCGATTCCTGCTCCCACAGGTCCTGCTGGCACTGCCCGAGACGGCCACCAGCACAGAGAGGGGAAGCTCAGCGAGGCGTTTCCTCTGTTGGCAGGACACATTTCTCCTCCACTCGGGGTCACACTTCAGCAGAGAGCCTGCGGGCAGCGCCCCCATGCACCCTGTGCTCCTGGTGTTCCCGGGCTGCCTTGCTGTTCCCATCTCTCCTCAGCTGCTTGTGGCATGTGTTATTTGGCCATACAAGTGTTAGCTGGCTACAGAAATGCTCAAATCCTGGTGTGGTGGCCAGTACTTTCTACTGCTCCCCCTGCCTCCAGATGTGGAAGGAATAGATGCCAGTAGGCGCTGAATAAGAAATCCCAAGAGTTCCTTAATTTAGATGGAACTAACCCCAAATGATTCTCTAGCAGCAGTTTTACTTAATCTTGAAGTAATTTTGGCAGCTTGATATTAAAATTCTTAACTGTATTTTTATCTGCTTCTGAAGCATACAAAGCAGCATAATAACATCGTAATTTTTCTGGAGTAATAGATGAAAAAATAGCAGAATATCGCATCTCAAAATCATAGTCAAAATCTTTTTTGCTTTTATTCTATTTAATGTTTGGTATCTGGGAAAATACAATAAATAATTTTTCAGTCTAGAACAACTAGATGTTACACTTACTAGTAAAATGTTCAAAGAATGTAAAAATAAATTAATATCTTGCTATTTAACTTCAGGAATAAAGCAGGTCTCAGTTTTAGACAACTGAGAAATTTTCAGCCATGAAAGATAAATGGAACATATTCTGCCCTTCCATAAACACATGGCTATCATTGAAACCAATGGAAGATACACATACACACACACACATATATATATATGTATATGTGCCTGCCTCAGAGGGCAGAATTTGTCCTACATCTTACAAAATGGTAGTGTGCAATTGACATTCATGTGTGTTTAATTTTTTAACAAACAGAACTGCAGAATGTTCATGTATCATACAGTTTCCAAATCGTGTAACTGCAACTTATATGAAACATTAGCATATAAAATATCATCACTGTACAACCACTTTTTTTTTCCAAAAGTCAGTGTCAAAACCATAAAAAACAGCTAATTCATTAAAACCAGTGCTGAGGTTTGCGTTAGCTTTCTTCTATTTTAAGCACAAAAAATCCATTAAAAAATAAAAGGCAAAAGTGGCTCAGAAAATGACAAAGTCTTTAACAACATACTTTACCAACACTTATCTGACGCTATAGTTAATTCAAAACCAATGTAAACACAATGAGGTACAGATACCAATGGACATTCCTCACAACTGTGCAAACTGTGGGCCTCATCCTGCAAACACCACTGGCTCTGGAGCTTCCTCCCAGGACCGGTCACACCGAGTCTGACCACAACTCCCTGCACCAGCCTCTGCTGCTGCCATTTGCAGAAAGGAGTCCTGTGACCCTCATGTCATGCACCAAATACATTTAAAGTGCCTCAGATTTCAAACTGATGCAAATTTATATTTCATTTCTTCAGAGCTGAAAAGGTGGAATAGCTTATGTAAAGTCTTATATAAATACTCCTTTAAAACTGTTAGAGGTTTTCCATTTCAAGGTAAATATAATAAAATATTTGAACTGCTTTTAAATTAGGCAAATAGCGCTTGTGCTGCTTTTTGTAAAAATGCAACAATATTCCTTTGCTTTAAGATACTTTATATATTTCCAGTTACTCTTCCCTTTATTTTACAGAAAGTAAGAGGCAGAGCTATTATAGTTTTGTTGGTGCAATTGCCTGTGGAGTTCTGAAACAGCCCAATGGATTTTTCTATGATGACACTGAATCTTATATTCATCTCTTTTCACAAGACTTTCCTCCAGTTTGTTTTATTCTCCTTCTTCAGTCTTCTCAGCTCCAGCTGAATTATCTGCCTCATACTTTTTATCAAGAGCATCTTCAAAGGATTTCCCACTGCAGTCATAGGTTTTACTTGTAGGTCCCATATGTGTTCGGATGCGAGCTCCTGGCTGGTATAACTGCATGGCTGGGCGATCCTAGAAGGAAGGAGATGTGGTTAACACTCTGAGAAACCCATGTGAGACACATATGTGGGATTTTAAAGTTTTGAATCTTTATGAAAAAGGTAGATTTTGTGTTAAATTACTTTACAATTCATAAGACCCAGGAAAAAAATGGAGTATAATGAAAATTGACTGAGTATTCAGTGTCTGTGTTGTTTTATAACACTATTCTTGGGAACCAAGCATTTTGAATAAATGAAGGAAGCTGTAAAAATTAAAGATCCTATGATACGTTTGACATAAACAAGGAGAAATACTGCACACAATTATCAAACATGGTGTTACAAGTCAAACAAGAAAAATGTTGCTACCTTCATTAACATCAACTGAGAACAACAATAGCCTGTGCACTTACAGCTCTGCAGATGAATGACTGTGGCAGGAGAGCCCTCCCACACACAATGACAAATATTAAATATAAGCATAAAAGCCCAAGATAGACCAGAGAACAGTTTAGCAGGCAGCAGCTAGAAAATTATCATCAACTGATCTTCAAATATTAGCACAATTTAAACATTCAATGCACATTTGAATTATACACATCAAAATAAAAATTGCATAGCTATTGCCCTAGTTCATGAGAGCAGGGAATTCATGTGCTGATAATAAACAAAGTAAGCACAATTTGAGCATGGGCAGATTCTGTGAATGACCCAATCATACACATGGTGATCTGATGATAGGAAAATGGAAGGAGCCAGTTTACAAGGAAAAGACACCTCAAACCTGCAAATGGTGATACTTCATAGCTCTTGAGAGCACTTTTTATTCTTGAAACATACTGTTTAGAAACTCTGCTTAAGAAGTCTTTTACTAGTAAGAGTATTTTACTCTCACAAATACCAATTTTTAATATTATGAAGCAACTGAAAACTCACCAAAATCTTAGCATTTGATCGAAGACTCATGTTAAGTTTAGCAACCAGCCTATTTGAAGACAATGGCAGAGCACTGAAATTGTCCTACATTAAATTATACTAATTTCCAACTGCCATCATAATTTGAAGTCATTCTGGTCATTTGTTCTTTCATTCTTTTTTCTCATTCACAGTATGCATTTTCCCCTTTCCTTTCTCTTTCCTTCACCTTTGCCTTTATTTGCTCAACTTTTTTTCTCCTTCTTGTTGCCTAAATGGCTGTGGGGAAAAAAGACTCCAAGCCAAATTAGGTAGGAGAAAAGATAAGGATACAAAGGCTTTAATGAGCCCCCAGGCTTTCTGGAATACCCTACAACACGCTCCCGAAATACAGATGTTCAGTTTTTATAATGATTTTCACCCAATCCCTGTCCAGCCACCACCCAGGTTCTGCCCCTGCCACGCCTCTTGGGAACTGGGTCTGGGGGTGTTTTGGGACCCCTTCTTCATCATCTTCATCTTCCTCAGAGCACATAATGTCCTTGGAGGCCTTCCAGAATTCTAGGCCTGAAGGTTGTTGCGTCTATGGCTGTATCTTCTTCCATAGGGTTAAGATGTTCCCTATAATTCTACCTTGAAAAAGAGACAAAACAGGCTAGTGGAATTTAGGGGAATTGATATGGGAATGGGTAACAGGGGTGTGAGCTGGTGTGTTAAAGGGTAAAGGGATAATATGCTGCTACTCTAAAATCTACATTTACTACATAACTACTTCTGAGATCTTCAAAAATTAAAAATATCAAAACATCAAAACTCCAAGGTATCAGAGAACTTTAGACCAGATGTCAAGTATCACTACTGGACTGTATGACTAGATCATTCTAGTTAGTGCATTGTAGTGTGGTATAAAATGTGTAACATACACCTTTCTATATCACAAACAGCTGCATAAAACTAGATCCTCTGACAAGCAGTGCCCATTAGAAAGATTATGAGAAAGGGCTCAAACAACTTTTCTTACCACAGACTCCACGGTTTGCATGAAAGCTGGCACAATGTTACTTACCCTGGACATTTCCAATTTACAAATTAATTCTTACAAACTTCAGAAAGAAACTTGATCTCTGACTGAAAATTTGTGTTGGCACTGTCAGTTCTATACCTAAGTTGTAAAACTCATCCCCTAATTTTACCTAGGTGATAAACATTCTAAGGAAAAAGGTCACCAGACTGCAAAATACTTTACTGATAGTGCTTTTTTTTTTTTAGGGAACAAATCTAGAACTTGAAGTGTGGACTAATCCAGAGACTCAGCGAGCTACCAGAAGTGTGATGCAAAGAAATAAAAAGCAGGCAGCTTCTTATCTCTTGCCAAAAGGTCCCCAAGACCCACCATCCAGTTCCAAGGTAACAGATTAATTTGCCAAATTTCAAGAACAGCATGTCAAGTATGAGGAAAACTTTTTCCCATCTTCCTGTTTCTGAACTAGCCATTTTTCTGACTGTTCTGCAGTCTGAGCCACTGATGTTTGTGGTAAGTGGCTAATGTGGATATGCAGACAAAGTTCACCCATCCTGCCCAGCTGACCTTTGCATAAACAAAGAGCGGGGCACATCGGGCTGTGTTTGCACCAGGTGACTTCCTCACACATACAGTGAGTCCACTTGGACTTTCTCTGTGCACATTCCATACAGACCCACTCTGCACATGACCAGTCTACTCTTGTCAGCCTTAGCCCACACCACATGTCAGTCACCTGGTCTGAAAGAAGAGTTTCACACGTGGAATAAATTTCTACCCGAAACAATGTTTTGGCCATCTTTTGTGGAAAATCCAGGATCACAAGGGAGAGTGAATGAGGGTGACAAGGAGAGCCACACCCTGAAAAGACTCTGGCACATCCATGAAATCAGACAGCCTGAGAAAAACGACACCCATATGTCTGGGAGTCACTAAGGGACAGCTCCACTACAAACCCTGCTACAGATCCTGCTCCCATTGTTTTTGCATCTGCTCTTTTCCTGTCAACAACTATGAGGATAAATTTATCCAAATGAAATGACAGCTTTTTCATACTGCCAGGTATGCAATACTGAAGAATTCAATCACTTACACACTCTAAATACAATGGTCTCTGAATTAGCTATTTTAAGTCCCTATAGTTGCTCTACCAAGCAATGCCTGGCAAATCCATAATATAATTACCTTATGAGCTGGGCAATGGAAGTACATTTTTAAAAGACTAACATGCCACAGTTTTTAAATTTCATTACAGATCAGAAGTGTAACAATTTTTAATACATTTATAAAATGCAAGGCTCCAAGAATAGTGCTGTAAAAATGACAGGGTTGAAAGGAAGACAGAAAGTCATCTATATATTGTGAATATGAATAAGCACAGACCTGTAATCTTAACTTATTTTAAGTGTTATCCTCTGACAATAACCCAGAAAGAAGTCTGGGTTTTACTGAAAATGAGATAAAGAATTTTTTCCTGAAAAAGCATTATTATGTTGAGTTTGCAAAAGTTAAAACCTATGATCTTGAAGCATATTTAACTAATGAAAGATTATCCTAAATGAATAAAAGAACCTTATTTCTTATGCGCTCCTTTTTGGATGCCATGTCATCACACTTGTCCTCTTTACCCAGTTTGTCTACTGCCTCCACAGTGAAGCTGTAGTTGTAGTTCCCTTTCTTTCCTCTGTCTTGGTTGTATCCTTTCCCCCATTTCAGCTCTTCTTCATTCCTCCTCATAAACTTGTCAAACTCATAGTGAGTTCTATGCTTTCTGCCATCATCCAATCGATACCTTTGTCTTTCAGGTTCTTTTTCTCGAAATCTTCTCTCCAAATCTCTTTGCTCTTTGTCACTATCATTTTGTGACCTAAGAGTATGTATAAAAAGAAAGAAAATCCAAGCGATTAACAGTAAAAAGGAGCTGCTAAAGGAGACAAGTTATATGGCAAGGTTGTTTTCTTCTCATTGGAAAGGGGTTATATGCAATTTTTCTGAATGTCTCAACCATGGCCCTTGACAATGCATTCAGTTCAGAAGAGCAGACAAAGCTTTGCAAGCCAAATCAGACTTTTGTGCAACTGCTGTGGAGGGCCCATTAATCACCTTCTATCCTTCTTTGAAATCCTATCAATAGTTCCATGCTCCATTATTAGCTCTTGTGGCCTGGTCTTGAGGTGAGTCATGCCTGTAAGTAATCCCCTGAACAGGAACATTCAAGGCCCAAAGGAATTGTGCAGGTATCACGTATCAATTTGTAAAGTTTTATGACTCTTAACAAAAATTAGTCACTGACACTGCAACCTGCAGAAGACATTTGTGAAAATGAATACTTATGTTCTAGGCTTTTGTTTATTGTGTCTCAAATTAATCTAGCCTGCCTTTGCATATTTTATTTAGGCAAAAGACAATTAAATTACCACAACATAATGCTCGATTTCTGCTATGCTGCAATGGGTTTATATTATAAAGACTATCTGTAACATTCAGCCTGTCTGATAAAATTCCCAGCTTTCTTATTCACTTCATTGTTCCAGTTCAGCAAGCAGGTGCTTCTCTCATACAGCCAAATTGCAAATAATTAAGAAAGATCACAGAATAGATTGAACTTTAAAAGGAATAAATACAGGCTGTTTCTTTTTATATATTACATATGTATAAAGACTTAAAATTGAAAAAAGTCACTTGAGGATGAAGATTTTCTAATGGTGTAGTGATCAAATAGTGATATGCTTCTTATTTAGAATTATTTAATATCAATAAAAGTGTATCTTTCTATATCACCTTTGTTTTTTTTAAAGTAACAGAATCGTGAAAATTGTTAGCATGTGCCATGAACTTAGGCATTGGTGGGGCTGCTAAGACCATTGGTGGGGCTCCATCTCAGGAAGAGCTGGAGGTCACAATAAAACCTGAATGAGAGGTAAGTTACTCAGTATTTCACCAGACTGAGCTCGTGTCAGCATAACACACTCACCAAGTGGAAGCAATGCCCCAGCTGTCACAGACATCTGAATCAATCAGAATTACAGAAATACTATACCTGTAGCCTAGATACATACACATAAAATACTATGTTAGCTCTCCAGGGGTATGTGGTTGTGAGTTGCTTTGTTTCACGTTTAATATGCTATGACCTTCCAAAAATATGCATGACCTTCCAAAAAGCCAGAAAGACCCCCTCGATTTGTTGCTGTAGCATTGCCTGGTACTTGTCTCTTCCCTTGCCTGTTACTATGGGTGAGGAAGGAATGGATGCACCTAGAGGTAGGCAAGTGACAGGGACACAAACTCCCATTCCAGAGTGGTTAAAGTAGCTTCCTAAAATTCAGTCATAGTGAACAGTCAGTCAGGAGTGGAAATGGTGGGATGAGCAAATACAAAGTGTAGGTAGAAGAGAAAGTTATGTAGCCAGAGAAAAGAGATTAATGAAAGTAAAGGGAATAGAAGCATAATTCTATTTGGTTTGAACTTTAAACCTTGATACAGCTGATACAGCTCAAAGATTGCTACCTACCCACTAACAATCACAATGAAGTGAGCACTTGGAAACACAAGGTAACGCTGTACCTGTGCAGCCAAAAGGATTTTGTTTAATGCCTGGAAAATCTACATTAATGCCTTATTAAACTTATAGGATCAATAGTAAAGGATGTTATAGGGCATCACCAAAAAGCTTACTGCATAAAAAGCCAGGGCAGTGGTGGAGTCACCACCCCTGGAGGTATTTAAAAGACCTGTAGATGTGGCACTTAAGGACGTGGTCTAGTGGTGGACTTGGCAGTGCCAGGTTAGCAGTTGGACTCCATGATCTTAAGGGTCTTTTCCAACATAAAAAATTCTATGATTAGTAAACAACTGACTTGCCCTTGAATTGTTTCTGTTGACCCTGTTCTGTTTCCTTTGTTGAAGAACATCAACAAAGGAGTTGCTGAATATTTTCAATTTCTGTCACAGAATAGGACATGGAAATTTTCAGGAACTTCCAAGTCATACTGAACATATTGAAACACTGAGCCTATGCTCGAAGTCCTTAGTCAGAAACAAAAAAAAGGATGAATAATGCATGTAGAATATTATTTGTGGCCCATTTATTCAATTAGTAAATTCAGTTATTTTATTTTACAGTGTTCAAAGTTTCTTTATTGTTTTCTTTGTCAATAGGAGGACATTTGCAGCTCCTACATACATCGCATAAAACCTGAGAACCTATGTGGACAAAAGTAAAATTTAAACTACTTAGAATAAGCAGGTAACCTGCAGGGCTCCCAGAGCATAATCCCAAACTTCCTCTCATATTTTATATGTAATACCTTAGGTAACTTATTAAAATGCTAAAGCTTGTCCTTCTGTACCGCAAAGCACTTTTGAGAGCTTAGCTGGAAAATTCAACTGAGTTTTATTCTGAGCTTTATTCATCTTAGTTAATGTATCTTACATATCTTATGGGTGAATCCTGCCTGCGAGGAGACACACATACCAAGGGACAAGAGAGAGAACCAACTGTTGAAAACACTTGTAAGATGATACTTTCCCAGGCTACACCAATAACTGAGCTGAGCTATGCCCCTTGTTCCTACCAGGGAATGTAAGACAAATGTAAGACAAAAGACAGAGGAGACAGAGACAGCCTTCTGCATGTACCTATCATAAGGCTGTCATTGACACCACAACTATTCTGCCATTGTCTCATTTATCACATACAGTGTTTATTATGTGTTTATTGCAGCAAACCCAAGTGTGAAGGAAGAGCATGGCATCTTAGCCAGTTTAGTCTTTGACATCAGTAATGGAAGGAGGACCTTACCTGAGCTCTTGATGGGGAACAGGTGAAATAAGAATGAAATACTGAATGACTTCTCACGGAGAAATCCTTCCAATCTGGGATTTTATAGCATTTCACAAATAACAAATTGCATCCTCTAATACATCCATCAGGTCAGGAAATTGTTATGAAACACCTTTTACCGAAAGGACAGTAAGAGATTTGTTGACACACAGAATAAAATTGCTTCTTTGGGGACAGAACATCTTGTCAATGCACCACTTATATTTAAGCCTTGAGATCAGAGCATTTATGATCTAAATTGAATTCTAAAATATAAATATTACTTACTTTTCCTTAAGTTCTTTTAGTGAACTCTCCAAGGTCTTGGATTTTATACTCCCAGATCCAGGTGATTTATCCCACTTGTTTTCCTCAATGTCAGCTTCTTCACCTTTATCTTTGTGCTTTTCACTGGCCAGTTCATCTCCTTTTTCAGGTTTCTTGAGAAGCTAAGAGATATTTGCTTATACTATGATGTAAAATTATTCTCCTCTGTTGTAACAGACATTTTAACAAGTATTAAATATGTCAGTAACCTGTTAAGATTTAAATACTAGGAATGTATTTTACAAAGTATAAAATTTAAAGTTATTTAGAAAGGGCAGTTTACTTTTGCTAGGGAGTGACAGTCATTAACAGGCGTTCAACTGCACTCTTTTAAATATGCTGAGAATACTGAAGAGAGCACTTACCTACTCTTCTCTCCTGAGTTTTATATACAGACATTATTATGGTCTAAGGTTTTTTAGAAATCATGTAACAGAGCTCAGTGTCATTGCCAACAAAATAAGAAGTAGAACCTCTACAATACTACAGAGAGCAGGATTAATACTTCAGTCCTTGAAATATTATATATAAAATGTGTGTCATGTGAATTACTAGGGATAGACTGGCACGTAGAAGTAGGTGCTTAGTACACCCTGACACAAATACAGACCGAGGAAAAACTTATGATGCTAGCAGAAAAGATCTCATTACATTTTCACCTTGAAGATTAGGATTTACAGGAAGTCTCTTCCTTTCAAAATAACCTACACAGGGCTTGAGCAGTGTCTAGCATTACAAGAACAATCTTTATAGAAGGACTAACTGTCTTAAGCTATTACCCTAATAGCTATCAGGACTAAGCAGAACATCTCCTCAGTCTTTTCATTCCACCAGATTTTCTGAAACAAGCACTGGTTATTCTTCTGTAATATTTAAAACTTCTATAACATTTCTCTCAGGAAATATTTCCCTTTGCTTTCAGAGACAGAACTTGCTTTTGAGATCATATCACACCCGATATGTCATAAATACAGGGTTTTTTTGGACAACCAATTTTGGCTAATATATTTTAAGGTTAAGTCCCTTTTCTTCTGAACTTCTAGAGTGTTTTTCTTTATGCCCAAATATGAAAATATGTAATTCAGCTTCAGAATTTACTGGTTTTATACTTTCAGGTGAAGGAAACTGTTTGCCAAGAAGAAAAGAGGAAAAATTCCGCAGTTCTGTGGCTTCTCACCACCACAAGATCTGGAGTAAGTCTGTGTGTCCTTGTGTTATGCTACAGACTCTTATACCAATTTTCCTTTTCAAAACAGCCCATAAAGCTCTTCCAATACTTCAAAATTTAGCTCAGATGGATAGTTTTTATCTATGTCATCTTATACAAATAAAGTTTTATAGGTTCCGACTTCATAGCACAAGATACATCCTCCTAAGTGATGTCATTAAAATCCATTCATATCCTTGCAAGGCAGTGCAGCCTGAAGTTAGCATGACTTTGTTATAACTTGGTTAAAGCTTTAATACTATTAAATACTTTAACACTATTAAAATACATCAGTTCTTGGAATAACCACAAAAAACTCTCTGCACCCATGGCCAGATGGAGATTTACATGACAGAGAATCACAGGGTATTTATTCTGAGCTGGAAGGGACTCACAAGGATCATCAAGTCCAACTCTCAAATGAACGGCCCATTCAGGGATAAAACCTGTGATAATTTTTCAACCTGTTAGCACAGAACAACTCAGTTCTGTCAGGTAATGCTGGCTTAGAACGCACCAGTGTTGTATAATGGTATCTGAGTTACCTGCTGTAACTGCACCAGCACATCACTGTACTTAGGGCCATTACTCACACTTTCAAACACTACTACTTAGTCAAAGACCTACATTACTTTCCCTCGCAGACAAAACTGGTTTGGTGTCTCCACACTGCTGTTGTACACTAAATAAACATTGAGATACCAAAGAACTCCTGGATAACTTCAAAAGAAGAATAATCTTTTTTTCATTATGGTACCTTGATCCTTATTTCTTTTTCAGAAATTTTCTTTTGCTTCTCCACTTCTTTCCTTTTACGTCTTTCTTCTTCTCTGCGCTTCCTTTTCTCTTCCTCCCGCAGACGTTTCTTCTCCAACTCTCTCCGCCTTCGCTCTTCTCTTTTCTCTTCTCGTATTCTCTGAAAAGTTCAAAATGATTAATTGTAAATTGTCCAACGGAAAACCACGTGAAACATAAATGTTGAACTTCAGGCAAAAGTCTGAACGTACCTGCTTTTCTAATTTTCTATTTTTAATATATTCCAAAAGGGGTGTTGTTCTTCTAGCTAAAACACAAAAAATTTGTGATATAGTGTTCAACTCCTAGAATATGTACTCATTTCTTTACTTTAGTACTAACCCCCTTTTTTCTAGCTTTATCTGAAAGGGAGCTAAATCACTGAGAAGCCTATTTGTTTCATGTATTTTTGAAAGCATTCCCATCATTCTGCTTTAGAAACACTTTGTTGCTTTTTTTTTCTGTTAGCGTTAGAAGCAACAGAAATACACTGCATGATTATTTCATGTTTAATTAAAGATCGTATCATTATACCATATCTTTTCAGTTCAAAAGAATGGCTTTTCTCACTTACTTATTGAATGGTTATTTCACCAAAAAGGAAAGAAATGTGTTCAGAATCTTTTCCTACTTTTTACTTTTGTACATCAAAACCTAGTTATATTGTTGTTCACAAACAGCCCATATTACTGTAATCTCACACAGCATTTTTCAATCACAGATGTCAAAGTACATCATGAAGGAAGCATTTTCAGTCTCATATAACATTTCCATTTACCTGACTTTAGCATTCCCCTCTCCTTGAAAAAACAGGAGGAATAAGAGATAAGTAGTTTGTCCCAGGTTACATAACAAATTATCAGCACATTCAATAAAACTCTGGCTTCCCAAATAACAAATAAAAAGTCTCATCTACTGGATCACACAGCCATTCTTATGTTACAAAGCTGTCTCCACACTCTAAAATCAAGTCACCTGCCTGAACCACCCCCAAATTCTACAAAATCTTGGAGAACATCATCAAATTTTTCATCATATATAGCATTTGTGACTGTAAGTATTGAATTCAGACTTGAATTCATGTACTTAGAGCTGTGAATAGTTACAACAAATTTTGTCAGTCTTTGGTGTCCCAGGATAGAAAATGTTTGCTACTTGAAACTGCTCTACAGTTATATATAGGATTCTCCCTCAAACCAGAAAAAAAACATTCACTACTGGAATGCATGACAGAATTTGAAAGAAAAAGGAAGAAATTAAAAGTTTTCAACAAGTTTGAAATGGCATCACCAAAGTCTAGACACAATTCACATCCCAAAAACATTTAAATGTTTTTGCCTTGAAAGTCAGAATATGCTGGAGGCAACCCATTCATTAATAATAAAACTTTTTTAAGCAGTTATGAACAGACTGATAGGAAGGCTGATAGGATTCAGTATTTATTTTTACCAAATATCAATGTTTAAAAGCAACAACGAAAAAAGACTGTTGATTTGCCATTTTTCTCTCTCTATCCTAGATTTCCCATGCTGCCCCAGCCTCCTCACATGCCCATAATTTCTGACAAGTTTTAGGTCCCCAGAACCCTCCCTTCCAGTTCCCCAGATCCGCAGCTTTGCCTCTCTCCTGGCCCTATCTGAGCAGTGTCTGCCTCTGGGCACTTCTACATGCTGAAAGAGATCACAGATTTTAACTGGAAGGTCTGGGCAAAGGATAAGCTGCATTTGAGAGTCCAGAACTTGACCCCAGGCATGACTAAGGCTGTGGTGCAAGAGGTTTAATGAAAAAGTATAACTTGAAGGTCAAGGGAGAGAGGCAGTGGGATGAGTATTAACAATAGAGGAGGGAAAAAAAGTATGTTTATCAAACCTGAATCTTACCCATCTTATTTATGCTCCTTAATACGAACAAAAATACGAGAGGGTTTTTTTAAAATGTTTAAGAAATTTTAAAAGAAAATAAATTACTAAATGAAGACCTGTGTCAGCAAAAGTTTTTACATTTTATCTGGCTCTCTACAAACAAGCCAGAAAAATGAGCTTATCTTCATCTCATTACTGAGAAAATCTCTTTTATCTCTCTCTGTCACACTGAAACTGATCAGCTAACCCGTGTGACATGATGCATAAAATCTGTTGGTTCACAGTAACTCTACATGGAGAAATGCTGAGCATCGGAGGCCCAATTATACCAACAAAATCCTGGGCATGTCCTTCACTGACATCAGTAGAAGTAGCATCTTTGCCACTGGACACACAACTAAACCCTTACATAATTTTGCTATAAACATGTTATAGTTTTGAATGGCAGAAAAAATAAAGCAACTAATTTGATTCCCTGAGATTTAACACAAACAAAATACTAAAATTCTTAATGTAAATCTGCCTTCAGCCAATATTGTTACTCTGAAATCTACAAGTCTCAAGACTAGTAATTTTCACTGAGAGACTATTATAAAGCTAAAAAATCTTTCTTGAAATTGTAAACTTTTTGGAAATTGTAAAATTATTGGAAATTGTACATTTCCAAGAAGATTTTACTCTGCTGTCAAATACAAGGGAAGATTTGGGGTAAACAAATATTGCTGTATAACCTATCTAGAACAGCAATAAACAAGTTTATTATCTAAATGTCCATACTACTAACATTTCCATTTCCTCTAAATGGTTTTAAGTTCCAAATCTCTTCAGTCGACTCTCAAACAACAGTAACAAGTGACAGGGCAAAAGGAAATGGCCTCAAGTTGCACCAGAGCAGGTTTATATTGGGTATTACAAAAAATTTCTTCACAAAAAGATTGTCAAGCACTCAAACAGGTTGTCCAGGGAAATAGTGGAGTCACTGTTCATGGTGGTATTTAAAAGACATGTAGATGTGGCACTTGGGAACATGGTTTAGTGGTGGACTTGGCAGTGCTGGGTTAATGGCTGTACTTGATGTTCTCAAAGGTCTTTTCCAACCTAAATGATTCTATAATTCTAATCAAAAGAGGTGTCTACTTCTACACAAAAGAAATAACAGCAAAGGTCTTTTTTTTTTTTTTTATCCTATTCAATTGTCACACTTGGGGAAAGACTAAGTGTTCTGCATGTTGTCACCTGAAGATACAGCGTATCAATATTCCGGTTCATCCTGAAAGCTGCATACCAGCACTGAAGATTTCAGTGTTGACCTTATTTAAAATTCCCCGCGGGTCTGTGAAAGTCATGCTGCATGCATACAGAAAACAAAGTGTTGCCTTACTTTCAGAGCTTTTCCAGAATCTTGACCGTGAGAACAAAAAGAGATCATTCCATGTTTCTTAATAAAAGCAGCTAATATCAGGGATAAATTTTTAAGTACTCAGCTATTTTATATTTTAAAAATAAATCTTTTGTCTATTAATACATCTGTAAGCATTCAGAATTGTTAGGGAACTATTTCTGAAGCCACTGCACATGCAAAAGTTCGGGTGAAGCCAAGTGATTGCAGGCATAGAGACTTAATCTAAATCTGCTAGACTGAACAGGTCAGCTCTTGAAGGTAATATAAAGATATTTAATACTCTCAATAATAAGAAAAATCAAGAAAACAGACCAATAAGTTCCCTTGTTTTGGCCTCAATCTCTCCCAAAAGAATCTCAGGATTGGCACAGATTTTCTCTTCATCAGCACAATAACTCTCTAAAAATTTCTTATATTCTGGATCTGTGAAGAAAAAATTTTTAATTATGTTAATACTTTGCAATCCATAACAGAAATTACATATATTTTCTACTGTGACGCCAAGAAAATATGTTTACCATCTTCAATGCTCCCAGCTTTGGCATCTTTCTTCTTCAGCTTCTTTTTTGAAATCTTCTGGAACGGAGCAAATTCAACCACTGCAGGATACTCCAAACCTTAAAAGAGATCGAACCTTAACTTTCTGAGGGAGAGAAACATTCTCCAAATTCATGTAAGCTTTTCAAAACTCTTGAAACACGTGTTGAGCAGTCTTAGTTGAAATCAAAAGTGACTGTTTCTTCAACTCCTTAACTTCTAATGAAAAGCTACACACAGAGGTATTTTAAATTGAAACCAAAATAAATTTGTATTTTAATTATATATAAAATACTAAATATTTTTGGATATGCTAATAAGATTGTCAAAATGAAGATGATTATTGTTATACAATCAAATTCTTGTATTATAATTTATAATTCCCTTTTAGTTGTTCACAGATATTGATTAGAAAAATTTACCTCAAAATCTCAGCCTGACAAGTGATTAAGTCCTACTGGGAAATGAATCTGAAACTGATGAGATGTTTCATAAAGTTTTGTTGCCTAAAAGCTTAAAAAATAAATAAATGCTGGGTAATATGCAATAAAACAATATACCAACTCAGCACATAAAATTGTGTGAAACTTCTTTTTTTCTGTTTATGATGGACTATGCAACCTCCTCCCTATGTTTATTAGCAGGGATTCTTTGCTTTGAATTCTGCCTTAAGTACTGGATTCTTCTTTGGACTGGAGTCAGAGCTGTGTGTAGTTTTTGAATTTCACCTGGTTTCCACTTGCAGCAGGTTCAAGATTACACTTAGCTCAAGTCCACTCAAAATTTGTCTTAAATCTGCCAGAACATTTGTTAACCATATTGAACCTGCTAATCCTTGTTTCAGTTTTACCCTTGTAAGTGCAATGCTGCCACAAGCCTCACCAGAGGGCACCTGTGATCAAACCTTGTGCTCTTTATTTGCACAGTCATGTCAAGCTGGCCAGCTGTGTCCAAGTCAGTTTTTTATTTCCCAGAATATTCAGGACTAAACATTCTGGCTTCAGTCCAGCATAACACTGAAAGACCTGCTGAATTTAGGCAAAGTCAAGTCTTAGCAGAGTCATAAAAATAGCTTCTGTTTTTTCTTCTAAAAACATCCAGAATCTGAAATCCGGGAATCACACACTGAGAGGAATGTGTTGTTCTCTATCTCTACAAAAACAATCCAAACCACATGGACATCAGAAGTAGATAAAATATCCCAGGTAGGAAATTCTGAAGAGGAATTAATAAATTTGACAGAGTTTCTTTAGAGATCAATATCTAGTAAGAATGGGCAGGACTACTTTTCGAAGGACCTCTGCAGCAAATTTCTATTTTATAGAACCCCTGCAATTTTTTACAGGAGGTATGGCAAGCTATGGCAAGGAACTACTAAAGTTCTGCTAACCCACTTCTTGTCAATGGCAGTTTCATACTACTATAGGAGACCTGGGTTTATCCACACCTACATTAGTCTTTTTCTCTACTGCTGGGCAAACTTTTTGCAGACTGAACATTTTAAAGCTGGCAGTCAATTATGTTGTTCTTGTTTTTGGAACTCAACTCAAGATGTCTGCGAAGGCCCTCAAAATTCAAGTTTGACATATCTTAAAAGCGGGCAACCAAAACATTGAAGGTTTCCTCTTGCTTTTACAAAACAGGAGTAAGTGGCACAAGTTTATCTCACAGAAACACACCACAGATGTAACAATTCATGCTCACAATGTGTTCAGTTACTGTTGTGATGAATTGTGAAGCTTGCATAAGGTAATTATCTTAATAGGATCTTGATAATGTATTGCATAAGGTACAAGAATGCACATAAAGCATGCATACCATAGACAAGCAAGACTGCATGGACAAATACATTTTGCACCTTATTATCTTAAAAGTGCTAAATTTTAACATATTTTAATGTCATTAACTGCATATTGAGGAAAAAAGCAAGCATGATTAGCAAAAAGGAAGTAAAATAATGTTCTAAAATGGTATATGTATATATATATATATACACTTAATATCTTACAAATAGTCCAACCTTTATTGTCAATGAAGACATAGCCATCAAAGCGATCTCTAAAAAGAAGGATGTCCTCAGGATTTTTAAAGTTAAGGTATGCTCTTGAGTAGAGATGAGGATAAAGGCTGCAACAAGAAACAAGTTTATTTCTGTTATTTAGTATTCTGTTCAGGGCTAGGGAAAAGGTAAAACTAGAGGGATCACGTTGTAATTCTCATCTTCTTTGAGAAACTGTTTAAGATACTACATATGTACATATTTACATGTACACATCTAACTATATATGACAAAAAGTAACCGAACAACTGAGTTTTGTATGCAACTGTGAAATTTATTCTGAACTGAAACAAACATTTCTAGCCCGTTTTGTTTCCCTAAATTCCAGAGAATACACTTACAATTGTGCAGGATTAAAACTTTAATATTTAATGATTTAAGAGACGTGAATAACAGCAGTGCTTTTGGGGAACTTCTTGGGCGTGCTAAAAAAAGTCTTCTGTCAGTGAAACAGGCAAAGGTAAATAAAAGACTGCAGTGAAGGGGCAGTTTCCAAGCTGCCACTGTATTTAAAGATATTTTCACCTTTAAGAAAGAATAAATAGCCTAAGAGTTGGCAAGATAATCCACTGAATTATACACAAATAAATAAACAAACTCCATTTGCTATCATTCCCATGTTATCAATATACGCACCATGTGTAATTGTGGAGAACAGCTATTCTGAAAATCCAAAGCATTTCTAGCAAAGGAAACAGGTACTTACTTAAAATAATTTTGATCCTTCAAGATAGAATCAAGTGGCATAGATCCCACTCCAAGGATAAATGTTTAACGTGCCTGATAAAAACCTCAGAGCTGGCACACCATAACCACAATGAAACTGAGGTAATTTAACAAATTAGCACTCATCAGGTAAGTTACTGTGAGTCATGGTACGTACATGCTTTAAACCCCCGCAACTGTGATACAAAACAGTTTGGCTTAAACTGCCTTAATGATGGCTACATGTTACATCAGGTTTTTGAATAAAACATAAGCCCATAACTTTAAATACCTCTGTTCACATACTGTTGTCAGGCCATATACATGGCCTGCCTTCAGACCAACTCACCACCAGCAGCGGGAGACAATAAACATACACAGTGGCAACTATTTCAAAGCCATAGCTATTTCAAAATCAGATTTCACAAGTGAGAAGGAGAAAAACCATGGGTTGCCTCACAGGATCCTCGCACGTGGCAGCTCAAAGCAACCCTGTTCCCAAGTAATTTTTTATTTTTAAAATATGCATCCGTATGGATTCCACTTCTGGTGTTAAAAGGAGACCATAAAGACCATAAAGGGACAAATCATTGTCAATAACCAATGATTTTGAAAACACAGAAAATTTGTTTTTGATCCTGCAGCCAGGAGAGATGTTTAAAAAAACTAGAGGGCTTTTTTCATTTAGATGTCTTGTAAAAATCAGATGTGGAGTGTTTCTACAGCACGAAGAGGATAAACTCTCTATTTCTAAGGAAGAGTAATTTTATCTACATATACCTATTTTGACATTCTAGGATGGAAACAGACTGAACTGTAAGCAGGTAACTGCAAAAATGTCTGCTAGGGCACAGCTGGGGCTGAAAGATGCTACAGAGTGGCTGTGGAGTTACTGCCAAGATAAAAAGCAGATGCAAGCAGCCAGCTTCCTTCTCATCAGCTTCAAAGACAAAAAAAGGGATTAAATTTAACACTTTTGATAATTATTACATACAATTAAAAATGTATTTTAAAAAGGCATACAAGTGTAAGTAAAGGAGGGAACTTTATTGTGTCAGTCTATAGCTGCGCTGCAAGAAATGTTTCTGTGCTGCCTAATGGCTGCAACAGTGAAGAGCTTTCTGATAACCAGCAGCATCCAGGGAGATGTAAACTTCCTTCTGTATCACATTAACAGGACTATTCTTATGCTGCATGTTCTTTGATGTTTAAATTAAATGAGGCTTAATATTAGAGACTGATAAACTTGATAGTTGAAGTGCTGAAGGTTCAACAGACAAAACCAGGAATTTTGAGGTAGCATTATTTTTCAGGCACTTCTCTGCCTCAGTGCACAGCAAACAGCTTCATCACATAGTTGGATTTTCTTTTTCCTGTAGTAACTTAGAACGTTATGGTTGGACACATAATCATAATGAAACAAAACAGAAAAAACACGAGTTATTCCTTCGTTTCCTTTAGCTGGTATATCAACACCATCTCTTTCATCTGCTTTGGCAACATATGTATTTTTCCAGCTTTTTCAGATTAATCAAACTATCTTTCAAAACAGAAGAATATTTGATATTGTTATTAAGCATTTATTAGTAAGAACATACCAGTCTGAAATGCATAAATGGGACTCTGGAAAGCAGACATTTAGCATATACCTTGCAAATATGGGATCTTCAAGAACTTCATACACATCAGCAAAAACATACACAAATACAAAAGCATGTGCACAGCAGGATATTGATGTGCACCACGGCACAGTAAAATGCAGCTCTCTGTTCATTACTGCTGCAGTGTATCAGCGTAGAAGGTTGCAAAAACAGAGCTGAGACAATGCTTAGCAATTACAGGTTCCTTCTCTGATGGAGCCACTTCTACAGATAGAGAATTGGTTCACATGTGCATGCAAGTTAGCTATCAGAGTGCTCAGTGTGTAAAAACCTCACCACTGAATGTTTCAAACCCTTGCTGTAGACTTCTTACCCAGCAAAGTGTGCAATGTGCCTAAAAAAGTGAATAAAATTAACATTCTAAGTGGGACACTAACTAAACCTAGTGAACTGGAAATACTTAGCACCGGCCTGCATATAGAATACTCTTACCCTGGGTTTCAGACACCTGACTTCCAGCTGCTGCTCCCCACCCTGGATTCCCTCTACTCCTATCCACTGAGAATTCACCAGCATGACCATGCAGCAAAGAATGCACAGAGCTTCCTCACAGGGCCACAGGCACTCTGAATCTAATTACCTCTCCTAGGAAGAAACACTCCTGCTTTACTTTTGTACTTCGTATTCAGCAGTTATTGGCTAAAATATTTTTTTTGCTCTTCAGGATTTTGCCTTCCAGCTGGAGTTCTACAGAAGGGTCGCTGAACACTGTGTGTTTCCTCCTTTCCTCAGGCGTCTACCAGTGTAGATTTCATTCAGAATCTGAAATTTAGTTTGATAATCAGACAGCTGGTTCTATTTTGCCATATGTTTGCTGTCTATAGTGCTGCCTTCCATCTGTATTATGTTCTGGACAGATGCACAGCACATGCTGGCATCTCTGGGATCTCACTTAGAGCAATCTCTATGGAAACAGCCCAGATGAGTTTGACTGTACACATTTCTTCAGTCCAGCACACTGTTTCTTTGTCTTCTGCTCTGCATTGAAGGGTATTCAATCTTTTAGGTTACATTTATTTCTATAATACTTAAGTCGATCGTCCCTTTAAGCCTTTTTCTAGTAACTTTAATAGCAAACATATTCTAATTGTTTTTCTACAAAGTATCTTTTAACACAATTGTGTAAAAAGACTGATACACAGGAAAGCAATTTTAAATAGTTATCAACAAAATCAGCTATCACGTCTTAGTAAAATAATTATCAACTTAAAATCATGGTGGTAATATATATATAAACATACATACTTACATGTGTATAAAAATATAGATACCTACATCTAAATTCTGAACTGTCAAGTAACTCCTCCATTCACTCTTGTAACAATTGATGAGGTAACTCATCATCTACATTGTCTTGTCAAGCTAAGATCCACTGGCCTTCATCCTTGTCACCTTCTGTGGTCACTCATGTATGCAACTGACATAATCTTAAATTAACTTAAGTCTTTCCTTTTTAGTTATTAATGAGCACAATTTGCCTGTTAGAGAAGCAGGAACACTACAGAATTGTGCCGATCAAAGCTTGTCAATTATTCTATCCAGAACACAGTAGTGGTGGTTCCCTCAAAGCTATAAAGGCTTCAGTGCTGCAGTTCCTGGGTGCAAACCTCCACCCTACAATTAATGCTCTTTACCTACAATAAACCTGAGCAAAATGTTGTGAAGAACTTACAGAGGGAAAAGGAGTGTGCTTTTCAAGAAGCTTTATCATGCTCTGTGATACATGACATTGCACTGATTACTTGAAAAGTTGACCACTTTCCATGTAAGTTAAGCTCCTGTCCAGATCTCTTTATTTTTATAACCTCACACTATTAATGATTCCCAGCACTCAGTGTTGCAAAAATAGTTAATACTAGGAGTCTGAGTACAAGACAGTCTGTGAGGAAGGCAGTCTTTATTATCAGTTATAAACAGTGTTTTGCTTGTATTTTGATGTCAATGTGTAAGAGAGAATAAATGTAATGCAGTGAACCGGATGAATCTGAAAAATGAACGGAACACAACACAAGTCATTTTCTCAAATGATTTTACTGAAATGGATGGAACTGAAAATGCATTATACATTATTAATGACATTAATCACATGGAATTTTAATAAGTTTTATAACTTGCCTATAGTAGGACATCATAAACATGATATAAAAATATTAGAGAGATATTAGAAAGATAAAGACTGTAATAACAGAGAAACTGGAGTTGATATGCCTATCTTGTTTGTTTTCTCCTCTAAGGTGAGATGACCTTGGAAATAAAAGTGTAGAAACAGCTACAGTTAGAGACCTCTAGTTCTCTTTCCAACAGCAACTAAGAGAGGTTGCTTAGAGAAATTTTATTAAAAAGGGGAAAGTATACACTGGCACTTCACCCAATACATAATTTCAGTTACTTGCAGCCTAGGGACTTCGTAATACCAAACTTGTATCCTGTGTTTAGTAGGTTTTCGTAGATAAATATTTGTCTAAATAAGTGTTTGTCTAATTGCTCCTGAAGTTTTTCCAACATCCACCATTTGTGGAATGAATTTCGGACAAGTTCTACAGTTTGACAGAGTGTTGTGGGAAAAAAAGTCTCTACAGAAATATGCATGAGCTCTTAGAAACTACTGTGATCTAGAGTCACACAGGATGTGGTTAAACTGAGATATTATGGCTCTTAAGGCAAATTTGTCTGGTTCTGCACCAAAATATCTGTATGTCCCTTTCTCTTTCCAACAAACAGATCCTCTTCACTGAGTAGCTTCTCCAAATCATTCTCGTTAGGTGAGATGAAATTTCTTTTCATCTTCCCATGCTTTTATTATCTGTTCTCTGAATTCTCTGGATTGACTGCCACTATGCACGTAGTACAGGATCTAGGAAAAAGCTATTCAGTGAAAGACAGAGAGAACATGCCCACCTTGGTCTGTAGCTCTTCCTGTTAGCTGGAATGACATGAAGACACATCCAGAGGGTTTGCTGAAATCGTGTGAACTGTCCATAACATGACAGATTACTGCAACACAATGCTTTATACTCAGAAAAAAGTTCTCTGCTGCGGAAGAGGAGACTGAGACTCACTACATGAATCTTGTCTCTAACTTTTAATTTCTGGAAGTTTATTGTGTATTTACTGTGTGAGAATGTAAAGCGTTGAATCATAAACAGACGTACATGGCATGTGTCAGCATCAGAACAGAGGGGAGAAAGGAATCAAGGTGATCCTGGCCAGGCAAAGGACAAATAATCAGCCAAGCCAACGCTCTGCAGAACTGCAGTGAAACGCCTATTTAAGCTGTGCAGTTTGCTGAAATAACCTGTAGCCATACAAATCTCATAAAGATAAAGCCCTTCTGAAAAAAGATACATCTTTTCTATGAAAACACTTTTGTTAAGAAGCAAGATAAACAAAAAAATTGACTATGAAACAGTTTATGTTGAAAAATTCAGATATATGAAAACTTTTTTTTCTAATGAGTTTAAATTTGTGAAGACAGAAGAGAATAACATGACAAATAACACAGCATGAGAGAAAAAACTTCAGTATCTTTCACTGGTAACCTAACATAGATTCAATTATATGAGTGGACATCAAGATTTTTGAGTACTCCAAATTTCATCACATAAAAGTAGGAGAGAAAATTAAACTTCATATGCACAACTGTTGTCAGTGCCTTCTCTTTTCTAAGGTGGCCAACTCCCTAAATTCTTATGCCAACAATTTTTCAGGCAATTTAAAATTGTAAATTTTTTAACTGTTTCCTGGAATTTATGCAGCTAAACACACTGAGAAATGACACTCTTCTTCAGAGAATTTTTGGTTTGTCTTTGATATTTTCCCCTTATCAAATGAACAGCTGGGACAGAAGCCTTAAAGAGACCCATTTGAAAATACAGATGACAAAGTTCAGAAGACAAATGTAAGGAACTACAAAGACTTTCAATCAGACTAAATACTCCTCTTTCCTAACTTCACATCCCTTGTGGTTTTAACAGAACAGCTGAAGCACTTACTACTTTGCTGCTGCACTAATGTGCAACTCTTTAGGTAGGCTGGGAACTGTCATAGTTTTGCTAAATAAACATTTGTTTCTTCTTTTTCGTGGAACTGACTCTGAAAGAACCCCTAACTTCAAAAGTTGGTCAGCAATAAACATGCAGGATCCCTCTGCAGTCAGTGGAAAGAACCTGATGCGAGTGGAGGATGATTTATCGCACACCAAGATACAACAAGATGGATCTTATACTTTAGTTTTTCAGAACACATGTAGATGTAGCATAAATGGTGTTTTGCTTTTTTAGTGGTTAAGTTCCTTCCCTTCTGGAAATTGATTTATTTGAAAAGGAATTGTATTTTACCACTGTGATACAGAATTAATTATACAAATATATCAGTAATTCTGATTTATTTTAAATCAACCACTGTATTTTTTTTTTGCATGAGATAATAATTAATAAAACTGGATTGTTTGAAAAAATGTATGAAGTAAATACAAAAATATGTAAGCATTCACAGAAGCTACACTCAAATGGCACTCATGAAAACATTCTGTGATTGTTTGCCCTAGACTGAATCTTGTTCACAGCCAATAACATAGCCTGTTAAAGTTTACCAATGGAAGTTAAACATCAGGGTTTCAATTATGCCCTTCTGCTTTAAAATGGAATTTTGCCCTTCTGTTTCAAAATCACCAGTGTAAAAGAAATATCCAGGAATGCTGTCTCTGCATACGTAGACATTTTTTATAAATATTTTTGGTAACTCAACAAACATAATAAAAAGGGAAAAAACATGTGATTTGTAATGGCCTGGATACCTTAATCAGGTTTTAGCACCTGAAAACCTACAGAAACAGCTCATCCTCACCTGGGATCAGCAGTGCAAAACTCAAAATAATCATGGGCAGGTAGAGGATGTAGCTGTTCCTCAAGTTGTTCCTTGGTTAGACAAGGAGGAAGCCTTCGAATAACCACCTGCATATATAAAAGAAAATGGAGATTTAATTTGATCTAAACACTGTAGGAATGGATGGAACAAGTACCCTCAGCGTTGTAAAACTGTAGGGTGAGTGACATATTCTGATGAAGGCCTGAGAACCTCTGCAATTTAGCCAATAATAAAGGATTTTAAAAAAACAAACCCCAGATACTGATTACACAAACTTTTGCAGTATCTCTTTTAATACAGCAGTGTTTTAGTGTACTAGGTCTCCGTGTCCAGGTGCTCCTGGCAGGGGCTCCAGAGCAGCCTCTGAGGGGATGCTGGGGCTGCCCCAGGCTGGGTACAGCCAGTTCCAGCCAGCTCCAGTGGATTCACCCCAGGGAACAGCTGAGCCACTCCCTGGAGACAGTGGTGACTCTGGGAAATGTATTTAAGAAAGGGCAGAAAAGGCTACGCAGCAGTGGGTGAGACAGAGGAGTAATGGGGGAAAAGTGTGAGAAACAGCCCTGCAGACAGCAATGAAGGGAGAAGGAGAGGAGGAGGTGCTCCAGTGCCAAGGCAGAGATTCCCACACAGGAGATCACAGTGAGGCACGCTGTCCCCCCAGAGCCCATAGAGGACCCCATGCCACAGCAGGTGGAGATGCCCTGAGGGACCTGCAGCCCATGGAGAGGAGCCCACATGGAAGCAGGTTTATCCTGAAGGACTGCAGCCCACGAAGGAGAATCATGCTGCAGCAGGTCATGAACTGCAGCATGCAGAAGGGATACCCCCTGGAGCAATCCATGAAGAACTGTATCCCACTGTATCCCATGCGGGAGGGACAGAGCCTGAGGAGAAAACAGCAGCAGACAGCAGCTATTATGACCTGTCTGAAACCCCCATTCCCCATTCTCCTGCAGTGCTTGGGTGCAGAGGAGGTAGTGCCTGGGAAGGAAGGGAGAAGGAAGGTGTTTTAGTTTTAATCTTTGTTTCTCACCATTCTACTCTATTTTTTTTTTAAATTAGCAATAAGGTAAATTATTTTCAGCAAGTTAGAATCATGGAATATCCTGAGTTGGAAGGGACCCCCAAGGATCATCAAGACCAACTCCTGGCCCTGCACCATCCCCAAGAGTCACACCGTGTACTCAAGAGCATTGTCCAAATGCTTCTTGAACTCTGTCAGGCTTGGTGCTGTGACCACTTCCCTGGGGAGCCTGTTCCAGTGCCCAACCACCCTCTGGGTGAAAAACCTTTTCCTAATATGCATCTAAATCTTCCCTGATGCAGCTTCAGGCCATTCCCTCGGGTCTTGTCACTGGTCACCACAGAGAAGGGATCAGTGCTTGCCATCCCACCTCCCCTCATAAGGAAGCTGTAGGAAGCTGCTATGAGGTCACCCCCATGTCTGTTTTTGCTGTGATGGACTTTGTAAATGATCTCCCTGCCTTTATCTCAAGTCTGTGAGTTTCTTCCATCATATCTTCTTCCCCTGAAGGTAGGAGGGAGGAGTGCAAGAGCAGGTGGCTGGGGGTCTGGCAGCCACCCAGAGTCCACTCACCACACTCAGGTAAACTGCCTAATAATAAGGACCAGGAAACAGCAGAGAAACCTCTGGTAGAATGATGCCAGCACACTAAGTAGTAAAATGGCCATCATTGGCTTCAGGCAATCTATTTTAATTTTCTGAGTATTTTAATATCTGAATTTAACTTGACTTATCTTTAAGTTCTAGTGATTTTCAATGTTTCAGTTTTCCATTAAAAAAAAAAAAAAGGGAATAAATCAAATCTCACGCTTCTCACAGAATCACAGAATGGTCAGGGTTGAAAGGGACCTCTGGAGATCATCCAGTCCAATCCCCCTGGCAAGGCAGGGTTACCCAGAGCAGGTGACACAGGAACGGGTCGGGTGGGTTTGGAATGTCTCCGGAGAGGGAGACTCCACGACCTCTCTGGGCAGCCTGCTATACTCTGCAAGTATTATTTGAATAGTGCTCGAATAAAGACAAGGGAAGAGAGCAGGAGCTGCTCTGCCGCAGCAGCGGCCAGCCTTGGCTTCTTTAGAATTAAAGGCGAAATGATTTCCAGCGCTGACGCTGGGCATCTCACAATACTCCAGGGAATGAACACTCTCAACCTGCAGATGAAGGAACACCCGTTTTAAACACCCGGCTCGGTCTGTAGAGCAGGGATGCTGCCTGCGCCCCGCTCCCCACCGCAGGCCCCGCTCCCATCTCCCATCTCCCATCTCCCATCTCCCACCTCCCCCGGCTGCCATCGCCGCTCCCCCCGCGCGCCCCCTCACTTTGCTCAGCGCCGCTTTCTTCTCCTCCCGCAGTTTACCCGGCGCCGGATGGAGCAGCGGCGGCGGCAGCGGGGAGGGCGGGGAAGGCGGCGGGGGGTTCGGCGGAGCGTCCGTGTCGCGGCGCGGCGACTCTCGGCGCGGGGGGGTGTCCATGTCCATGGGCCGCCGTTCGCGGCCGCCGCCCGGCCCCGAGAGCGGCCCCGGTCCCGGCCCCGACACCGGCCCCGGCCCCCTCTCCGACCGCATGGAGCCGCGCCCGCAGCCCGCCCCAAACCTCGCGAGAACTGCCCGCAGCGCCGCCGGGATCGCGCGAGGCTCCCCCGCCCCAGTCCCTCAGCGGGGGCATCTCCTTCCCCATTCCCGTACTGCCCGGGACCCGTCTCCATCCCCATTCCCGTACTGCCCGGAACCGTCTCCATCCCCATTCCCGTACTGCCCGGAGCCATCTGCATCCACATTCCCGTACTGCCCGGAACCATCTCCATCCACATTCCCGTACTGCCTGGAGCCCGCCGAGGCTCCCACCGTGCCGGTGGGCAGGGGAGGGCAGAGAAGTGTGCCCGTGCCCCTGCTCTCATGGTCCCTCCCTAAGCCCTGTCACAGCGGCCGCAGAGCGGCTCGTACGGCGGGACGGGCACGGACACCCCGGGGTGTGTTACCCTCAGCCTTAGGATGCGGGGAAGAGAGGCAGCCAGGTCCTGGGGACAGAAGAGTGGGAGAGGGGAAAAGAGTCCATTAGTCGTTACTTCCATCAGTCCAGGACTCTGGTGGCTCCGTCAAAATGAAGCAGCAGCGCCCGCACGCAGGGATGCGCCGCCAGCTCCAGCGTCCGTGGCCGTGCAGCGGGTACGGGAGCTGTTCTGGACGATGCCTCCCTGCCTTTCTGACTGGCTTCACCAGGAACGGGGGCGGTTCAAACGGAAAGAGGGGAAATTTAGGGTAGGTAATGGGAAGAAATGCTTTACTGTGAGGGTGGTGAGGCACTGGCACAGTTTGCCCAGAGAAGTTGTGGATGCCCCATCCCTGGAAGTGTTCGAGGCAAGGTTGGATGAGGCTGAGTAACGCAGTCTAGTTGAAGGTGCCCCTGCCCATGGCAAGGGAGTTAGCACTAGGTGATCTTTAAGGTTCCTTCCAGCCCAATCCCCTGATTCTATGATGTCGTGGTTTTAGCTAGCTCTCATAAGCCAAGTGAAGAATTTTCTCCCTTCCCCCCTGGTTATCAAGATAAGCACTTCAGAGTTACTAAAGACCTAACCCCCATGGCTGATGGCCGGACATTAGTCTCCTAGGAGACAAGGCAGATAAGGACTTGCACTTTACTTTTTTCTCTTGTCTCCTGGGCAACGAAGTGGGAGGAGTTGGGGGGGCTACGGTGTGGATGGGGCTGGGGTGTGTGTGTGTGTGGCTGGTGCTGGGGACTGGGGACCTGTCGCAGGACACCTCGCTGCTGTGTGTTTTTGCCCTGAGCCATTCCCAGCTGCACTTTTTGCCTGAGGTGGATTCTAAGTAGTTGAAGTTCGTGAGTTTTCTTCCACTGGGAGAACTTTCTATTTTATTGCTGGGTGTTTTTTCTTTTTTAAATTTTATTTCCTTTCTCTCCCCCCACCCTTTCCCAGTGTGGGAAGGGAAGGGGAATCGAGTTTTTTTTTTGGTTTTGGTTTTTTCTCCGATATACCCTGCGGGGTGTTGCTTTTTCCCCTTCCCCTAACCCACGTGGCGGCAACCAGGGATCTCACAGCGCCGCCTGGTGACGGGCACCGGACATTACAAGTTCTGCTCCTCCAGTGATCCAACAGCGCCACCTCGTGGCTACTATAGGACACTACAAGTTCTACATCTCCAGTGACCCGACGGCACCCCCTGCTGACTGTGGTTGGAATTGCACCAAAGGGTGCGAAAATTGAACTGTTTAATTCTCCTTTTGCCGGACATATGATTATTCTAAGTACTGACCCATCAATCAAACTAAGGCTTACTCAGTCCTAGATTGCAATCAACAAATTTTGCAATGTCTAAATCCAGTTTCCTACAAGGCCTGTGTGAGTTAGAGTATCTTGGACTACATCTCCTAGGCTTGGTGGCAGAAGTACAGCAAGCTCCAAAGTATGGATGTACCATGCATTTACCAACACACAGATTCATCTACAGCTATGGAAACTAGACAAAAGCAGCAAAATGCCTGCAATTTAATCAGAATACACAAGGTCATTGCAAATCTTCAAATCCTGCTGCATTGTTGGTCCTCAAATGGCTGTCCACAGCACAAAGGAAATACATGATCTGATGGGGAATGATACAAGCAGGTGCCATTGGCTGAGGAAACTGAAATCACAGAATCTTCTGAGTTGGAAGGAACCCACAAGGATCACCAAGTCCAACCCTTTAAGTGAATGGCCCATATAGGGGCTGAACTCGCAACCCTGGTGTTACTAGCACCATACTCTGACCAACTGAGCTTATGTGTTACTCCTCCTCAAATCTTTTAGGTAGCAGTACCTACGATGGAACTGTTGGAGGCATTTGCAGCAGAAATATCTTGTGCGTTTTCATACCTATTCTGAAAACCTTTAAGGCAACAGCCAGGTCTCCCCACTCCAGGCCAAGACTGATCCTTTCAAGAGAGAGATGAAGTTATGGGACAGGGTAAGGGTGTCTCTTTTGGGGGCATACTGATAAGTCACCCAGCCTGACAGTCCTTGTACCCAGCAGCCACAGCCAAGTGAGGCAATGACTTGAAACAAGAATCAAGAATCTGAGGTCAAGTCAGGCCAAAATTAATAACCAAAGGCCTCATGAGGACAAGGACAATATTCAATTTATCTAGAACCAGGGTCAATGTCATAATAACCCAGAAAGGCACCAAGCACTATCTAGGAAGCAGAGTCCAGGTGGGAGCAGGACTGGAGCAGGACAGGTGCTGGGAAGTGCAGAAGACTAGAGCAAGCAGGAGCTGCCAGTATAAAAGCAGGGATTTGGACAGAACAAGAGCAGATCCAAACATTGAACAGAAGAGAAATGAGGAGAGAGTAAAACTTTCCGTGAAGTCCTGTCTGAGACACACATCAGGAACCACAAGCTCTAACCTATGGGAGCCAAGCCAAACCATATCAAGAATGCTTCTGACATCCAAAAATGTCACTCACAATGTAGGGCACTTTGCATACATTTCTTTCTAGATAACTTTTAATACAAATGAATGAAGGCTAGCAAAAGCCTGCCAAAAACCTCTAGCAGATACAAGTCAAGGCACATGATATGCTGCCTTTATAGCAATGCCCATCCTCGCTATTCCATCTGTTTCTTCCCATTCCTACCATTCTGCCCCACTGATGACAAGTGCTCTCTTTGATCCTGAGAATTGATCAAATCTAGAAAATGCTTTAAAATGCTAGTTTGTTCCCTGATTTCATTCACAACATAACCAAACATTCCTTCTGCCAAGGAAGCAGCAGAGGCGTAAGTAGATGCCTACAGGCAAGGAGGAAACACTACAAACCAGTACTGCCATTACAGCCAACATACCATTAGATCATAACTGGACAGTGCAGGAAGAAATACGAACATTTATCAATCTTTAAAACTGCTTGTCAATGAAAATTGTAGTAACATAGAAAAAAGGAAACAATGCAAGATTTATATCCATGTCTGACAGTAGATAAAAGGCCTGATTTGCTAGAAGACTGTTTTGCCAACTTCCATGTAGAAATTGCCACAATGTCTTACTAGAAAACTAGATTCACATATGCTGGATTAAAAATAATGATGATGTAGAGATAAAGGAGTTTGGCTCTCTGAGAATCTCTTGGCAATATCATTCTGGCTGCTCTGTGTGCAGCAACAAGCCTTTGGTGTCACTTTATGCATGAGATGGTCCTGGTTACAATCATTCAGGTTACATAAGGACAGATGTAAAAATAACCATCAAAAGATCCTTTAAAGGATGAGACCTGCCTAACATGAGTAGCTGTTGAGACACACTTATTATAAGGGCTTCAAGAGTATCTAGAAAAAATCCCCAGTTTACCTCAAAGTCACCTGAACCACACACAAACTACTAAGCTCCAAAAGAAAACTCCTCTGTATAAACTTTTTTGCCAGCCACAGTGAAAGAGAGAGACCTGATAGCAGCCAGGAGATGCATATGCTTCCTGAATGATTAATTTTCCCAACACTCTGCTTGGATTCCACTTAAGACTCATGGCTCATCCCATGTTTTTCAGGAGAATATGTAACTGCAGGTTCAACTTTAGACCTAGGAAGTAAAATATTTTTGTTTACCTTACTTCCTAATGTCTACGAATATACAGGATTGGTATAGAATTCTACACTCGACGCAGACCCCAATCCCTATGTTTTAACATATGGAAGGGAAACTTGGGCACCTCCAATTTCCTCTGTGAAGCCATAGCACAATTTCCACTGTCACTGGGACAGAACTAGACTTTACACTCCCTTGTTGGTGCTCAGAGGAAAGCAATCGTATCGCCTAGACCCAACCAGATTTCAACAGTGAGAGCGTGTGCAATTGTTGTTGAAACAGAGACTCCTTCCCGAGCTTTCCTGCACTCAATACCCTTGAATTTTAAAGTGCAGTTGTGTCTAAAACCTGAACTCACGTTCAGTAATGCACAGACATGCAAAATAGCCAATACCCTGTATACTACAGTACTATGTATATGGCCTGCATTGATGCAATGAAGTCTTCTTGATCCAGATGGGGATTCATGAGAGTGCTATCAGGAAAGGAATATTTATAAAGTAGAAACTATAAAACTCCCAGTGTTAGGTACATAGTCGTTTGAATTCATATAAAAAATAGTAAATTCTTGAAAATTTAACACCAAAACAAAAATGCTAAAACAAACATACTACACTTAGACAAAATGAACTCTCTACCAGTATTTATGGTCACGTACTATGGTCTGACATTGACGTTTCTAACATCATGTCACTTTCATTCATTTCAATCTCAAATGTTTCTTCCAGTGGACGGCTGGTATCTGTACTTTTCCTTTGATTTGATGTCTCTAACGTTACTATGCCACTTTCATCCAGAGTTTGTCTTTCTATGTCGAATTCTCTAAAATCCCAGGGAGGTGAAATTATGTTCTTTAATGTCTTCACTGTGTGTACATCAAAGTCATAACATCTTAATTTGTCTTTGATCTCCGTTCCTAGGAAAACAGACAAACGATTAGTTTATTCCAAACGAACACTCCCAAAAACATCTCTCAAAGAAACTGTTATCCAGAAACTACTATAATCCTGTGCTTTCTGATCATCAGGGAACTGCTGCTGCTTAATGACTGAAGATGAATAGAGTTGGTCTGAAAAAATCCAGCAGCCTCCTTTTTGAGAAAAGCAAAATAAAAGCAGCACAACTCAGATTCAAAAGTCTGTTATGAGACATAATTGCCAATTCCCTTCCCAATTCTCCAAGGGGCTTTTTTTCTTGTTTAAGTTACACACAGTTTGGTTTGCATTAATGCATATCACATGGCTGCATGGTTCTTCCAGATGTGTTAAATGACTGCATATGGAGAAAGACAATATTGAGAAGAAACATCTGCTTCAATTGTGTGAAAAATCTGCTGGAAAAGCACTAGAGCACACAGATGGCTTTTACTCTTAAGGCTTCAGCCTTCTGAACATGCTTGACAGAACATCAGCTGTGTTCACTACAGATAAAACACTAAGCTCAATGAAGCAGAAATCTGTCACTATAAAGTTGTAGGGGGGGCAGAAAAGTTTCACAGAAAATTTAAAACTATGGCAATATAATGTATTACTGTTATGAAGGCCTTTTTTTTGTTACTATATGTAAAGCTGTATTTTTGGAGTCAGAAGAATTTATCCTGTCTCCACAGAGCCAAGTTTTAACATGGTGAAAATGCCTTGCTCTACAGCAGTGTTAGCACTAGTGCTCTGATTTCCTAACTCCATATCTCTATTTTATTTTTTCCCTATTCCCTTTGATGTCTAAGCTTCCACAAATCAACATTTTCTACAAAGAAACCATCAGAACCTTAAATGACAAAGTGTTTCCTTTCTTTATGCTGGTAAAAATTTACTGTCATGATGCTCAAAAAAAACCAGTGGTCATCTGCAATTGCTGTTAAATTCTGAATCATTTAGCCATTAAAAAAAAAAACAAAAACAAACAAAAAACCAAACAAAGGCATGCTCTACTTTGTAAGTTAATGAGGTAGTGGTAGACAGTCTTTCTTGACATAAGAATAACACTCCTCTCAAAGGACTCAATGATTAAGAGTCACATAGGTTAAAGACTTACCAATGTAGGCTTCAGAATCACCAATGTACATTTCTATGCAGTGTCCAAGCATTGTGACTGAAAATGTGTCATCCCTTCTGAGACCAAGGGCCTGTTAAAAAAAAAAACAGTAAAAAGTATTTAGTAGCAAACAAAACAGTAGCAAATTTACATCTTAAGTCTGCAATGGTTCAGTTTGTTATTCTGATGTTCCACAGTGCTATCTGAGCATAGTCTTCACTCTAAAAGCGAAACATTGCACAACTCAAATAACACCGTCACATAAACAGTCTGAAGTAGCAAGCAAACAAAGCACTGAAGCAAAAACAGAAAAGGATTTAAATACAGACAGAGAAACATTCAAAAATCATGATATATAACATATGTTGCTGTTTACTTACTTTAAAATTTCTCCTTTAAGGCATTTGTTGGAAGTATTTGAAATTACTTCAGCAGCATGACAAGCTTATGTACATGAAATGTAAATTGCAATAATGGCAGTCAAAGTTTGCCAAAGAGGCCATTTTTTAACCTAACCAATAAAAAACTTTAGAAGATGCTTTTTTAAAAAAACAAGATTATAAAATAAACAGTAATTTGGAGGCTGGAAAAAATGCTAGTTCTCTGTTCCAAACCTAAACCAGAATAAAAGAGGTAAATTGGAGAACCTGTGGCCAGCACTTTAATTGAAGGCAGTTACGTACCGTATGAAAATAGTCGATTGCGCTTTCAAAGTTGCCCATTAAGCTGTGTATGTAGCCAATGGCAGAGTAGGTAGAAGCATTCTGAGGAATTAATACCAGAGCCTGGCGATGGTATTCCAGTGCTTCTTCATACTTCCTGTTAGGGTTAAATACAGAAAATCGATTAGTAAATGGAATGCAATTGTGCCAGAACTTAAAAATTATTGCTTTATACTCTGAACATAACAGAACGTACAAAAGACTCATGGATATTGACGATTTTCTTCCTCAGTGTAATTGACAAATCATTGTTCTCCTTATGTAGCAAAACAGCTGCCTACAGGAGGCCCCATTTGGAGATGATCTTAGCCATTTGATGTGGTAAATTGCTTTACATGCTTAATGCTGCTCATTGTAACATTGGCTTGCTTTCTGTAGCTTTCATTTGCCTCCCTGGGGGAGCGATGGAGCAGTACGAGAATAAATCATGCATCATCCAAACTGAGAAAAGCTCTCTGGCCAGAAATTTCAGAAGCCTGTGCTGCATACACTGGTACTTTTTGTCAATTCTATTTTGCTATACCCGCTATCAAAAAAGGAGTTTTACACATACCCATAATTTCTTTCAAATACCAGTCACCCTTTCTTTGAAAATTATCTATTAATTAGACTGATTATTACATTTGTTATTTTATAAAACAAGGATTAAATGTACACTATGGCATTACTCTGAGACATTGTCACATTTGACATCCTAATTCCACATTGTTAAAAAGAAAGATAACAATTGCCTACTCACAACAAATTTTAACGACTATAGTGATAATGAAATTATGTAAACAGCAACACATGAAGCTGTTAGAGGGCATCAAGTAACAATTGAAGCAGAAAAATTATGCAACTGTTTGCTTGCTGCACAACCCTTTCACAACTGCAATTTTATTTTCACTCATAGTATTTACATGTCCAGTTGATTACCACTGGATTTTAATATGCTGCTTTCAAACTACAACCCCTTAATACTAGTGAGTAGACATATATCCAGTAAGTTTTTTCGTAATAGCCATATCATGTATTACAATCACTACTAAATTAGTTATTACTGAATTTTTTGAGTTTTCAAAGCATATGTACAGCTGCCTAAATTCTCAACTTGCTTTTCTTGAAAGATGGTTTACAAAGATGCAAAAGTATAATGGGTGTGATTTCTGAACCTGAACAAATACTACAATGCAAGTTGTACAAAGCGTGATGTAAACAGTTACTGACTTACTGGAGAAATTGAAAAAAAAAAAAAGACAAAAGTAAGTATAAACAAAACAAGTATTTGAAAAAACCCTGCAATTATAAACAGATTCCAGAAGCAGTGCCTTTTGTTTGATCTTGGCACAAGGAGTAACTATTATATGTTCTTATTTTATAATGAAAATGAAGACTAATTGGCAATTCGAGCACAAAGCAATTACTACCAAAGCCAAAGCAGAAGTACAACTTTTATCTACCATAATCACATTCTCATTAGCAGCTTTGAAAAAAAATTACAGTATGCACCAATTGGGCAATTAAAACTGACACTAAAAACACAACAAAAAATATGGCATTGATTGAATAAAAGAAAACACTGGTTAAAGTCAGATTAAGGTAATTAATGAGAAAACATGTCTCTGTGTTAAAACTGTTAAAACTTGCATAGGTACCTTGCACTTTTGGTGTTCATGGAATGAAAATATGAAATAGTTTTGTTCTAAAAAACCAGAAAAATCTCCTTGCTGTGTTAATGTGACTAAATATTTCATTCCAATAACAAAAAATAAGTACTAAGCCAAGCAATTAACTGGCACAAAACCACCTTTATGTTAATTAAATCAGTGGACATATTCCAGTATGCGAGGACTGAGATAGTAGACAGTTAAAATTCACACCCATACAAAGACCTAAAAGCCTATGACCAATTCTCTATCTAATAAGAATCAATAATTAAGGAAAGGCTTTTATATTAAGGACTTCAACTTGTGTGTGGTAAACAGGATATAAGGGGCGAATAACATATTACATTTACAGGCTGATTTAGATAATCATCTTCCTATAGGGTACTTCTACACTGTTCTCATGTGGTAGATAATCTTGATATGAATGACAGAGAAAGCACATTTGTGCAGCATTAAGAAAAATGTAGCTCCAGCAGTCTCTGCTTACTTGAGTTTTCTGCAGACATGTCCTAAGTTGTTCAATAAAGGCTCCCACTTATCAACTGTCACCTGCAAAATAATGCAGCAATTCAAATAACTGCAGCTTCTCAGACTATGACTAAATTTGTCTACTTTAAAAAACCCCCGAAGATACAAATGAATAAGGCATTTTATTTATGACTAAGAAAAATATCAGGAACATTTAAAATTCTTTACAAAACACACGTCTAAACCCAAAACCTTTATTCAATAACTCATTTTTTCTATTTTATCCATTCCCCAAAGCCAATTATATTTCTTTAAAGGGTCAGTGATATTAAAACTTGGGTGCAAACCAAACAGAACTTGTTTTCTACTTAACTAAAAAGAGTCTTAGCTAGGAGCACCGAAGACCACCTCAAATTAGGTATTTGTAAAACAATCATGAACAGTGAAGGTCTTTTTGCTGTCTTCTCCATGGTCTCACTTCATCTGCTCTAAATAAATTAGCTCATTTATGAGGAACACAGAAGGCGACCTGAGCCAACAAAATCCTTAAAATCCTTTTTATTGAAATTAAAAATAAATTGGACTTTTGCATTTTGAGTTTGCGATTTATAATAATATAAGACTATCTTCTGAGTCTCTAGTTATTTTAGGTGTTTCCCATACTAATTCTAAATATTCACTTGTGTGTTTACAGATTGCTGATATTTAGTACTTCTCAATAAACATGAAAAATGCCACATAGAAAAGAATTTCTGCATACACATAAATTTAAGTGTGGTCTACAAAGCTTATAGCATTTCCACAAACAATATTACAGCTTTAATTAAAACAGAACAAGCCCATTTATATATTGGTGACATATAAATTAGTAGCTGTGCAGTTTGTTTTAGTAAGTATGTGCCTTGTCCACATGAAGATTTTTAGTTCTTCAGCACTTTCCACTTTATAGTTTACTGTGCTCTAGAAGCAATTTCCTTATCTTGATAGGAGATGCTTTGTTAACATGGTAGCATGAGGTGATGTCCTCATTTACTAAATTTAAGCTAAAAATTGAGAAACCCTATCTTAAAATTCACAAGAAGCCTGTCACGAGGTGATACTGCTTTCATTAAGGCATCTTGAGTTTCTCTAGTACAATATGTTTCTTTAGACAAGATGATATCACACAAATAACCATTACTGCCAATAGGTACACATTTATTTGTATTCCAGCGTGAGGAATCAGGGTTGTAACGGTCAACTTCTGATTCACAAAAGCACCTGAAACTACATTTCCCAACACTTCTTGCTAGTGATTATTTTGGTTAATTTCAGGAAAGTTAGTTAAGCATCCCTGTCAGAGCGCATTCCTTCTCAGTGTCTCTATCCTCAGTTCCACCCTCAGTCAAGAGCCATTATTCTTCTAAGACCCAAGCCTGAGAATAAGACCTGGATTTCACTCCTCAATCAATGCTTATTTTTCTTTTAATTTCATACAGAAAAATACTTTTTGTCTTTTCCTGTAGCACTGAAGATGATATATGACAATTCTCATCTAATAACCCAACACACCCAATTACAAGGAGATGGTCCAAGTTTTAAAGTCAAATTTATATTGTATTGCTTTTATCTTAAAAGAAGAACAACATAAATTGTCACAAGACATTATAGAATTTGCTGGAGTTTTACAGATTTATAATCCTGTATGTCGTTAGGAAAAATACCTCATTTCCAATAGCTTTGATTTTTTCCAGTGCATCAAGGAACCACTTTTCTGCAGTTTTCCAGCTAAGAATTGAGGGGGTGGGGAGAAAGAAAAGTAAATTAGTGAAGAGTTTTCATTAACAGTATGAGAAAACTATATTGCAAGGAAGAGTTCTTTGACATTATTTCATTGTATGAACAGAATTAGATGTAAAACGAGTAATTTACACTTGGGTATATTTTGCATTGTCTTCCTAAGAGGTAACAAGACAGTTTAAAAAAATTGGAATCAAACCAAGAATATTGACTAAACATTTCATAGAACTGTTAGGGTTTTTTCCAGAATATATTTGGAACCTCCTGAGCTGACAAAATGTTTTGCTGTACAAAATTTTATAGCATGTGTGCGGCCAGATGCCTTTTCAGGCATACAACTACACAATGACAAGCACACGGAAGGTAATATTCATCTCTGCATGCTCCTCAAGATTAAATTCTGTCTTTGTTCAATCAAAAGCAAGAGTTTTGATCTAGACTAAACCCAAAAGACACTATAGCTCAAAGTAAGTACTTAAGTAGATATACTGGCACATTACACTTCAGAATAATTCATGTTTAGGATAGTATTTAATCATATTTTGCAAGCTTACTCTCCATTTTGAAATGCTACCACTCCAACTTCATGCATAACAAAAGGATCTTCGGGTGCAATGCTTAAAGCTTGGCTGAAAAACCGTTCAGCTAACTTGGAGTTGTTGGTCAAACCGTATTCCAGTCCAATGTAGAGCATCGGCAAATGACACCTAAAAAACCATAAAGCAAACTGTGTGTTTGTTTTTGTGTGGTTACCAGGAATGGAGTCACAAACTACAAAGAAATGCCAATTGTGTTTGCAAATGTATATGTACAACCAAGTAAAAGCTGATTTAAATGGACTATTAACCTAAAGGGAAGTTTAAAAAATTTTACATCTCTGTTAGTTATTGACAAGAATTTGAACTCCAATGCATAACTGTAACCTGCTGTGGAACACGTATTTTCTGAATGCTTCTGTTCTGAGAGTTTTTTTCCCTAGTTTCCTTCATACGTTTAATTTACAAATAGAATATGGAAGAAGCAATAATTAAAGAGATTATATTTACCAATAACCACAATCAAATACAACAATTTTATATGCAATATTACATTAGTCCACGACTCATTTTGCAACCTTCTCCCACAGCATGAAAGAACTGTTTAAGATATTACTATACAGCAGTTGATGACCTGGTGTGACAGCCATGATTTACAAATTTCATAGAACTGTCAGGTAGAACACAGATTACCTATATATAAATCTTGACTTTAGAACTTATAAAATCACAACAGCAATCATATATAATGCAGCTAAATGCAGATGATTAAATTATTTGGGTTTGGTTTTTTTTTTCTCCCTTGTTCTCTAACAGATAATTATTGCAAATGTATTGCTTCTGTTTATTCTTTCAAGGGATATAAGTCAATATTCTACACTATGCATATGGATATTCCCGAATGTGACATTTTTCACATACCCTTTCATGAGCTGTGCAGCTGTGAAATACGCAGCCATTGCTTGGTCATGCTCACTCTCAACTGCAAATGAATGCCCATATGCTATCCATGCAGGTCCATAGGTTCGCTCAAGCGTAGTGGCTTTGCTAAAACACAAGCAAACACATCTGAAATTAAATTTCACCTGCTTCAGATGACTGCTTAGAGACGCTGTGTCACAGGTATCTGTTAAGAAATCACCTGTAATGACCAGTGGTAAACAAAGTTAATTTTAAAAGTTCAAACTATTTAGCACTTATAAATTTCACACATTGTCATGAATTCATTATGGTATTATTTCTACTACTGTTCATGGACAGCAGAATTATTTGATATTATTGAACATAAACAATGATATAGTAAGTGAATTGAATAAAATACAGAAAACATTAGTAGTGACTCTAATTTATTGCAAAACCCTAGCAACACATTTCCAAATAAGTATATTCCAGAAAAATCTGAGTTTCACAAGCAGGATATCAAAATACCAAATGAACACATAGGTTGAATTGTGTGTTGAAATTTTGCTATATAATTGTGCTAGCCTTGAAGAAGACAACTGTTTGTCACACCCAGGCCATGCATCAGGGAAGTATGTCACTCAAGTCTCAAGCTGAAAACTGCAACCTAAGCATGAAGACTGCGCTCTAGAGTCTTTACAGAAAGATGGACTTGACAGGAACATTAGAAAGCTGTATAGATTATTTTCTGAGTCTGAAGACAAGGGGATTCATAACTAAACAGCTCATGACAAACATGCCCAGTCTTTTCTTAAAACCTTCTGACACGGCGATCCTACATGCTCCACAAGTAATCTATTCTATTGCTTAACTATCCTTAAACACTTCATTTTTCCCTAACATTTAATCCAAATTTTGTTTGCCACAGTTAAACTCACTATTTCTCATCACAGCTCCTAGGGAATGGTGTGTTCTCCATCTCCTGGGACAAAACTTGACATATTCAGACATTTGCATCTTGCCACCCATGACATACTTGGGTATTCAAGTGTGTCTTCAAGTTTCTTTTCTGAAAACCACTGTGTAGCCCACACTTGCTCCCAGCCTTGTTAGCTGTACACTATCATTCTTCTCCAAGAAATTTAAGCTTCTTGTTACTATTTCACTTTTACCAGACCTCTTTCTCTTTTTACCAGAACTACTCTGAATTCTGATGTTTGATTTGTGGGGTTTTTTGTTTGGTTTTCTCTTCAACACATCTATAGACTCTTTCTTCCTGGCTAAGGATGCTTATAGATTTAAAGATAGATTTTATAAATTTATTTCACCACCAAAATCACCTATGTCACTCAGGACAGCTTCTGGAAGAATTTCACACAGATACTTGTCAGGTATTTAAACAGTTTACTCATAATCATCAGGCATTTGAAAAGTCTAAATTACTAACCCATCTTTACCTTTATTGTCTATAAAGGTCTCAAGAAGAAAAATGAAAGTCTTACAGGTTGATTTATGCCTTCTCAGTTTAAGCTTACAGCACCAAAACAAATGCCCTACTTCACAGCAAAGTCCTGCTCTCCAGTGCTGATATTCTCTACATATACAGGAGACCTACAGGAAAGAGCATTGACCCAACTTAAAAAGTCCGCAGTTGCTTGTGCACAGAAACAACTAGACAGCCAAGTATCAGAATTTTCTATCTAACTCTTCCCTTTCAGATACGAAACCTGAGCCTGGGAGAATGTCTGAGTGTCCTCAAACTAAGGACTGAGGCCTGATTACCTGGCTGCAGTTAGCTTGGCAGCATGAGTGAATGAAGGGTCTACACCTGCCCGTAACAGCCAAGTGACTGCTGAAAGAGATGCCGCACCAGTCTCTATCATTTTTAAAGTATCTAGATGGATGAAATCCTAATTGCTATATCAGAAAAGGGTTGGCAACAAAAGGATTATTTTACTAGTAACCAGTTTATTGAGGGTTCTGTTTATGAGCCTGCAAACAATCATGAACATTGAATATTTATTTAGCAAATGAGCAACGGAAAAAAAATTACCTGAGATATCTTCTAGCATGTTCATTTTTGTGGCCAACCATGAGATAGTAGCATCCTACTGCAAACCATGACACCTACACATTAAAATCAAAATAGAATATTATTAGATATATCACAGTCATTTTAGTGAAACATCAAAAGAGAGGAACACATAATAGAGAGGAATATTTTCACTGAAATCACAGTCAGTTCTTCAAATTATTTGATGATATATGCTGGCATGTAACTCTGTAACTGGAGCTTGTTCAGCTCTCAGAGAGCTAAGTGGAAGGTTTATTGCTGTCTTCAATTATCTGATGATAAGGAACACAGAAGACAGAGCCAGACTCTCACAGGGGTGCAGTTGACAGGGTGGGAAGCAAGGGTACAAGTTGCAACACGAGAAATTCAGATCGAGTCAAAGAAAACTAATTTTCACTGTGAAGGTGATCAAACACTGGAAAAGGTTTCTCAGAGACGTGTAGATTTTTATTACTGCAGTATTGTTTTAAATTTTTGTTCAAAGTTAATAACTCACACTGAGTATCTTTTACAGATACTTCATTTTAAAAAAGGAACCTTGGTATAAGAAAATTACAATGCATGGAAAATAAAAGGAGTGAACTGTTTTTACAAGCTTCATCCAGCAACAGATTTTGAATTCTGTTGCTCAAACTGACTATTACATTACACTTTCTACATGTTTTCACCTAAAAAAACTACCAGGCAGTGAAGGCTTAGAACAACTTACAGGATTATTTGGGTACAAGTCCACCAGTTTGTGAGAAAGATAGAAAAGCTCTACATATTGGGAAGAAAACAAGAAAATAAAATTAAACCATGGTAAAAAATAAAGATGTTTCAAGTCTTTTAGCTTTCCATACAAAATATCCAGAACATCCAACATTATTAATTCACAAGTAAACAAAAATGTTTTCTCTTCAGTGGTAACGCTTCAAACTGCCTCAAAAGAGATTTGGTTTTGCAATTAACGAGAAAAACCCAACCAAAACAACCCATAAGTATTCACAGCACAAAAATAAGCAGCTATACTTCCCACCCCTTAAAAATTTTGAAACAACTTAGGTCATTAACATACACCAAAATAAATGCCTGTAGTATTACACTTGAATGTACCTTGTCAAGGTAAAACACTATTGAACTTCCTACATCTAAAAGGTATAACATACTGGCTAGATCCATTTCAAAGTAGAGTCCTGTGCATTAATATGCTGAAAATAGGACAAAAGCAAATAAATTATTATATTACTTAGAATAATTCTAAGTGATTACTTTTCTAATAAAAATAATAATTCTACTTATTGGAATAACTTAATACAGATTTTCTAACAATAGCAGCAGTAATCAGATACAGGGTAACAATTCTATTGCCTATATGACTTCAAAAGAAATAGCATTATGGTACGTAAAACTTCTATTTCTTCAGAGCACAGTGCTCTTAAACTGATGAGATTGTCCTGGAGCACTCTGCATCAATTCTCAGCTCCAGAAAAATCAAATTTTGAAACAAGCTTAAAAAATACCAACTTATTTACAAAATGCTTCTTGAGGCAGACTTAAAAGAACAAGCAGATCACCAGCTTGACTTTCAGATATAGTTAACTATAAAATAACTGAGAAGTACATTCACTAATCACTGAGAAATGCTAGTACTCCTAATGACCTATTTGCATACATATAATGCACCATTCTCTGGGAGCATGCACTCACATGAGCTCTATTTATTGTATTTTTCCATTTGGTTTTAGAGACATTTAAGCTTTGATGCGGATGTTTATATGCAGTCTGAAATAAGAAAAAGCCGTCCCAGCTGCAAATAAGCTATTATTGTAATTCCAACAAAGGTGTTGCATGATTATTAATTTGTTTGAACTAAAGAGAGGCCTTCACAACACCAAAGGCAAGGAGAGTCTAGAATCTTTTCTAACACAGAATAAGCATGTCCACCTAAGCATACGCGACTGCTGAAGAATTCTTTCTGGTTTAAATTAATATAATTTATTTTTCAGCAGAAGAAGTACACCCAGATACTCTACAAAGATCACCTCAAAACAGAAATTAACCACAGGCTACATAGTTAAGAGACAGTGACACTTATGATCATGAATGAATAAAGACTCTGCACAACTACCTCCCCCCCCCACCCTCCCAAGTCCTGCTGTCAGCTCTGAAATTCCCTTCTTTTCCAGTTACCACTGTTTTCTTGAAACTGCAGGTAGGAAGAAAAATATATGTAATGTTTCAAATGGTACATAAGGGGGTTTCTTGGCATCTTTAATTCTTTATTAAAATTGAGGCTTTACAGTATTCTGTTGACTCATAATAAAGTGTTTGGTTTCTTACCATTTGCTTTATTAAGCTCCACAAGTGTCCCTATATGTACAGGTAAACAATTTGCATGGAAGGGATCCTTTTCCATCACTCTAAAAAAGAAAACCACAAAACAACAAAATCTGCAATGCACATTTCAAAAAAATTAATGTGTTATATGCAAGCTGCTTTTATAGTACGTAACATTCCAGTTAATTACACTTTAGACAAAGAAAACTATTTGTGACTAGGAGGTAACTATTAATGGCATAATAAAGACTCACTTCAGACCAGAAAAATAACAATTAATTTAGCTTAACAAAAGAGGAAAACAGAAAATTATGTTAAGCTTAATATACAATTAGAAAATCAGAATACAGTGCACTTTTATTTGCAAGTCACTTCAAATTTAACTACTGGACAGCAAGCAACAACATTTCTGTTCATCTTTTCCATATATATTGACGGCAACTTCCAAGCAATAGTCCTCAACTTCCTGAGCTTAGCACTGGGCAGTATGCCTTAGGAATCAGATTTTGTTCAGTTGTAGAATTTTGTTTCCTGTGGCATTCAGAAATATAACCACATGTTCAGGTTTACAGTAGCTGAGAAGCAAACCAGGGTGTTCTGACCCTTCTGACAACTGAGCAGCAGTGTATGCTCAGACTATATAACAACTGATACCCAATAATCAGCTCATCAAAATTAGAAATAACATGCTAACTTTTAAAATTAATATTATCTTATTATCAATAACATCATAACTTTTAATCAGCCAGAGAAATCATACTTCCTAACTAACCAACTGATTCAAACCTGTTCATTACAAAGACTAAACAAGAAGTAGGTTGAGAGCAAACAAAACTGAAGGTACCAGAGAAGGGAAGAGGATGGATGAAGGGAAGTGCAGCACAGAGCTGAGTAAGTGGAGTTTTGCCTTGGTACATATTATAATGTGTCTTGACAAACTACACACTTTAAATACCTGAAACATATATATATATTCTGAAATACATATCAAACTGTTTTATATGTCAATTCATTGAACAGCAATATTGGCTATAAGTCCAGGTAAAATTATTACACTTCACAATATGAGGAAAAAACCCTAAAAGTTGCTTTGTATACTTACACTGAAGTAAGTTTGTAACACATTTTGAAATCACAGTTATAATAATGTCTTTCAGCTAAGGATACCACCACATCTAGGTTTTCTTGAAGACCATCTACTGATTCAGGAATCAGTGTTTCACTGGGCTTATTATACTGAAAGAGAAAAGAAACATCACATGAAACAAAAACCAATCTAAAATCAGATGATCTAAGTATTAATATTTTTAGTGCTAAAATAATATTTAAGAAGCATTAAAGTTCTTAAAATTTTAATTTTTGAACTGAAAGTCCATAAAACAGGTTATTTGGTAAAATGCTTCTTTGCAATGTACTTAAAAGCTCATTTAGAACATGAAAGATGTTTGCCAGGGTCAATATCTTAAGCGTCGGCTGTAGAAGTTAATAATGATCAATACACAGTTCGATTTTCAGTACTCTCACGTTACCTTTGGAAAAAAATAGTCTGGAATGATGTTGCTATATTGGTTATACTGACATTTTGTCTACATTATTAATACTCTTTTTCTTTGCATAGAAGTTTCTCAAGAAATGAAGCTTAAAAAACATAAATCAGAATTTCAAGCTGTTACCACACCAGGAAACAAGTATACAGAACACTGTTATACTACTCCATAAAGTGATATCTCCTGTATCAAAAATTTTAAAATAGCCAAAAATTACAAGGCCCATATTTATTTCAATGTTCACAATAAATGTGATACAAGAGAATTTACATCCAAAGACCAAAGATTTTTAATCAATTATCCAGCTTTTTAGTCAGTTTGGGGATTTACCTTTTTTAATTTATTCTCAAATAAAAAGTGAAGCAATTCCTGTTCTTCTTCTGTACATTGTCTACTAAGAGGTAGAGATTCAAGAAGTTCTTTTTCTAGAGGAATTAAAAAAAAGTTGAAGAGGTCATATTACGGAAGAAACAGCAAGATCCAACATTTTAAGAACTTAGAGATGCAAAGAATTTTATGCTGCTCATCCCAACTACAAGGAAGATAACAACACAGATACACTGAAACAGATAATACTACTAATTACGGAAATTAAGGATTGAATTCTTAGTTCCTTCTACACTTTTAAGTAAAATTTAATAAACACACCACTGTTTTCATGTACTCTACATATCAAATTTTATCACTCAGAATGCTCTGTTAACCAATGCCTACTATAACTAAGCAAACACCAGTAGGGTTTCATGGATTCAAAGCTGAGAACACAGGTCATCATCATCATCATGGCTAGGCTTCGCGAACGAAGATTTGAAAGGGCTCTACCCACGCTTGCGCTTGCCCACGCTTGCTACAAGCGCGAGAACACAGGTAAAAAAAAAAAAAAAAAAAAAAAAAAAAAAACAACATCATTTAGGCTGGACAAAGAGCATGAGAGTTTCTGGAGCTAACAAACAGGAATGCTGGGTTACTTTGTTTCTTTCAGCTCTTAGAACTGCAAGACTGAAAAATAAAAGTTCAAATGCAAATTTGCAGAGATTGTAATTTTCACTCATTTCATACTATTTGAATTATTATTTTGAAGTCTGATATTTATCTTATGGCTTTAATTTTTATCTAGGAAAATGCATATCGAGAAAGCAGGTAAAGTTTACTTGTACTTGAGAAATAGTTCTATCCAAACCTTCTTGTGCTGTCAGCATATGGTGTGACGTTAAAAGATCAAATGCTTCAAAGCAGTAAACATCAAGCTTCAAGGCCTCTTTGTAGCTGTAAGTTGCCAGGGCTCTATTATCCAAAGCATCGTAGATCTTCCCTCGCAAAAGGCATATAGAGCTCTTGATCTGGTGGAAAAGCAGGACCGGAGGTCAGAGACTGAATCAATGTGTACCACTGGGTTTTGAGTACAAATCAGAGGGGCTCCCTGGAAAGTAAAAAGCATTTCATGCATGATAGAACCTGGTTTTCTAGTGCTGTCTTCAAATAAAAAAAATGTTTCTGCTATCTCAAAAAATTTCGAAAGAATGCATTGTCAGGTTATCTGCTGCCAAACGAACACGTGCTTGAAATAAGCAACAGAAGGATAGAATTTATCTTTTCTACTTCTGGCATCCAGCTCTCTGATACTGAGTTGTAAGCTAATTATACTCATAGAGAAACTGTCACTTCCAAAAGCAATTCTTTGTTGACCATTAAACCACATATTTCATGCAAGACATGAAAAGGCCAAATCAGTGGACTCAACTCTTCTGAGCAGAAATCCCAAAACAAAGATGTTCCAGAAATTAAAGCAGTGAAAGATTACTATTAGTGCAGTTGTGCTAAAATGTCTAATAACTAATATGTTCTTTCAAAATTCCCTAGATGGGTATTCAGTACAGTCAGAAGGCTACAGAAGTGTCAGCAAAGGAGAAGGTTAGCACATTACCCATCTCTATCACCAGACAAAAGAGACAGAGCCAACTCTCTTGGAGTTCCCTCACCAGAAACAGAGCAGCTGCATCAACAAGGAATAAACCTCATGAGGCTTTTAAAGCAGTAACACTGTAACCAGCTCATAGATCAGTCAGTCAGTCTGTAACTAGCGTCTGCAAATTAGGGAGAAGTTTGAGCCAGTATTTCTTGTGCCAGTACCCATTTCAGTAGTTCCCTCCTTTAGCAAACCAAACCCATTCTCTTGCTACTGAACTCCACTATCACAAGCATTTCTGAAGGTAAAGACTGACAAAGTTGAGGTTTTTGGCTGGATTACTTTTCAGTCAAATGAGTTTCCCAATTTACTTCAATAATAATCAGCCATCCAAACACCGGGGCCAGAGTATCATGAAACAGGGAGCAAGAATGAACAGCCAAAGCTGAGGATTTCTTCCTTTGCTTGTACTAGTAGCTTAAATATTTCCAATAAACAGATGCACCACAGTCACTTAGTCTAAGCTACTTCTCTAAAACCATTATATCAGCACTTGAAATCAGTCCACGTCAACAATTTCACTCACTTTGCTACTTCAGTCTTACAGGGAAAACACCACCTGTCAATCATATTCACTGCAGTTTCAGCTAATAAATATCAATTTGTAACTCCGAAACTGAAGACTCTTCATAGACTGTTCAGCCTACATGTGGTACCAATCCCTTTTAGTTGTCTGCCCATGCAGGATTTTTTCATTGAGCTTCAAAAACTTCACCTTCAGTCACACAGTTTTCACAAGTGTGATCAAAAAATGTTCCACTGAGAACAACACTTGAGTGATTATGAAGTTTCACTAAAAATCACCAGAGGAGAAGAAAACTTGCTTTGTCATCTCAGAACCTGCAGCCCAATTGAAAGAAATGTTAGTTCACATTATCAAGACTGAAACTGCAGCACAGAGATAAAAGACTGTAAAAAACAATGCTAGATCACGAAGTTCATGAAAAATGTCTGCAAATAATTTATGGGAAGTTCTCAAAGAGCACTCTTTATTTTTGCAAACCAAGTTACTTCTATACAGGAAGTTCACTCATGATGTGTGACTGAAAGGAGACTAATTCAGCGTTTTTGAAAATTGTGTTATCCCAAAAAGAAAGCTTAAATGCACTTTCAGATGCAACAGCTGTAAAATCACTTTCTAACTTCACACATTTTTTTTCTCAGTTATAAAAATATTTGTTTAAATAATGTCACTTACAGAGGATTGTGACATCTCCCAGTCTGTGGTAGAATCTTTCAACCCGCTTTCATCCTTCAAGTACTTTTCAAAAAGTCGTTTGTTGATTGGCTCCTCCATATCAAGAATATCCAGGGCCTGTTGATGCTCTTTTGCAGCATACTAACCAAACATGTACATGTGAAAAAACAAGGTTGGGTTTTGAATAATCCATACATAAAGCACCATCATGTTTCAAAGGCACAGATTGTAACAACCAGTTTTAATTTTATCAGCAAGTTTTTCATGCATGCATATGCTTATTTGGCCATATGTCATTTTATGATTGCAGTTAACTGCTTTACTGGTCACTTATAATATGCAAAAAAAAGAGCACCTACAGAAAAATCCATTATTCAGCATTATGCAATCGGAGAAATGGATATGCTCCTAAAACCAGTTAATACAGGTTTTAATAAACTACCATCATCTTATTCTTTAAGCTGCACATTATTCTATTTCTATATTTAATCTACCAATTGATTCAGAGGTCTCTGTGAAAGCACTGCATTTCACCATTTATGTATCCCATTTTATAGAGATGCATAAAGCTGTTAACTATAGTTATACAACCATAAATCGCATCTCCTCAGGTCAGATTACAATCAACCAATTAAAAATGAAAACATGACGACATGAGACAAAAAAGGTTCATGTTCTTCCCCCACAAAATATTAGAGGAGTACTTCCTGGAAAAAGAGTCAGTTGGATTTCTTCAGAGTAGTACCAGAATGGATACTACAGTAACCATATAATGCAAGTTAAAGAATTAAATCAATTGTCACAAAATTTAAGCTTGTTATTCCAGTGAACATAAACCTCTATGTTGCCTGTCAGCTACCTAATCTTCCCAAGATGGTTTGTTTCCAATAGTGGTTAAAATGTGTACTCACATGACATCTAGCTGCAAGGTAGCGACACGCTTCATATAACTGAAAGAGAAGTTTCATACATAACAGTTACAAAGAGAGAGCATGTTTGCTTACGCTGCCAGACTCCATTTCGCTCCCTCCTTTTTCACTTCTATGGCCTCCTCATCCCTGTTCCCACCAAAAGTCTGTCCTGACCAACATAACTAAGTCTGTAACATTTTCTCTACTACTAAACTCTCGAAGGACACAATTCACTGCTGCCTTCCCCACTCATTATCAGAGTGGAAGGACAATTGAAGCAACTACATCACAAGTTGAACTCCACCTTCCCATTACCTGCTGCAGTTACATCCTTAGACCCTTTCTCTTTTCTGTGACCCCATCTGGGGGCAACACTTTCAGCCTGACCAATATAAAGGGGGCCATATAACCTACATCATGCAGGGCCATATAAACTACATCATGCAGATTTTTTTTAATTACTTTTCCCATAAGTGTTATCCTCTGATGGAAGAAGTCCCCGTGGTTAGCAGCAGAGGTTTAAAAGAGGGATAACATTAGTAATTCTTCAACTAAAATGACTTACCTTATCCAGCTTACGTGATCGAAGGGCATGTGCTGCCCTGTGATACTGAGCTGTTAGGTAAAGACATTGGGCCAACCAATAGATATCTTGTGGTTCCTCTAAAATAAAAGAACACATTATAAACCATTAATGTACAGTGTATCTTTAAACATTTTCATACAGAATATTCACTTTTGCTTCACTAGAGAAGTATTTTTTCACTGTTCCAGCATTCTAATGAGTTATGAAGTTTTATTTTTATATTTAAATATGTATAAACAACTCATCTACTATTGAGAGACTAAAATTAAAAAATTAAAAATTAAAAAAATTAAAAATCAGATTTTAACTTTGAAGACATCAGATAGTGCACTGGACAGTGAATACAAAGAATGTCATCCTAGAGATGTGACCTGAGAAGGAGACAGTGATACAATGATACAGATCTAAGAAAGCAGCAGTTACAGGTTACCCTGCCCTTGGACACAGGGCAGAAAAAAAACCAACCCAAAACTGTCTTTCTCAAAAAAAACCATCACTGGGAATCTAACAACAGTGAAAGCACTAGACTTCTGCAGCTTGAAGTTACAATTGCAGAAGGACAGCTCAGTACCCTCCTAGTTTATTGGCAACCAAAGCTTTTGTGGGATCAAGCCCCTAGAATAATTTTAAGTGTAACTGGCCCATGGCCACAGACAGACACTGGCAACCAGCATCACCTCCCTCAGTAAACCTACAGTCTGCTTGTCACCCAGGACAACCTTGAGTCCTGCAGGAAACCACCATGGTCTCTTGTATCTTTTGCTTTTTTTTTTTTTGATTCTTAAGGTAGGTAAACCTTAAGGTTTGGCCAAACATTAATTTTAGCACAAAGTTCAAAAGGGAAGGAAGATGAGCTCTCTGCTCTGTTTGGAAAAATACCATTCCAGAGATCACAAAAAAGCACTGCCACCAAGCCCAAAACTTCAAGATTTATCCAATTATTTACTACAAAACCTCCAAAACAGAACACTATCAGAAGGAAGTTAACAAAAAAACAAGATTAAAGCAACCACTTACCATGGGAGAGTGAGGCTACTTTGTCAGCCCAAAACAGGGCACTTTGATACTGCTGCTGTAAAAGCATGACAGAAATAATTAGTATTCTTTTGGTGTTAGCTTTCCTGGATTATTCTGACTAGACCAGGTTGCTCAAAGCCCCATACAACCTGGCCTTGAACACTTTAGGGATGGGGCATCCACAGCTTTTCTCGGCAATCTGTCCCAGTGCCTCACCTCCCTCACAGTAAAGAATTTCTTACTAATATCTCATATTAACCTACTCTCTTTTAGTTTGAATCCATTCCTCCTTGCAGTGATCATATAACCATTAAGTTTGGAAAAGACCTCCCAGATCATCAAGTCCAACGCCGACTGAACCCCACCGTGACAATTAAACAATACGGCCAAATGCCACGTCCGCTCGGTTTTTGAACACTTCCAGGGATGGTGACTCCATCACTTTACCTGGGGAGCCTGTTCCGATGCTTAACCACAGTTTCAGGGATGCGATTTTTTTTTTTTTTCCAATATCCAAACTGAGCCTCCCCTGGAGCAACCTGGGGCAGTCTCCTGCCCCAGGTAAGCCCGGCCCAGCTTGCACAACCCGGCAGGGCGGGATCCTGAAAATACGCCTTCGCTACACAGCTGCCCTAGAGCCGGCTGTCCTCTTCCCCCTCCTCCTCTTCCACGCGAGGAAGGCACCAGGAAAACCCACGAGGAGGCCCCGGCTCCCACTGGAGACCGCGCAGGCGGCGCTTCCGGCCCGCCGCACCCGCCTCCCACTGCCACTCCCTCCCCTGCCGGGGAAAACGGGGCATAATTACAAAATTAGCACCCTCTCCGCCGCCGCAGAGCCCGGCACCGCTGCCCGCCCCGCCCCAGCCTCCCTCCCCGCGGGAGCCGCGCCGAGAGCGCCTTTTCCTCGGGGAAAGCCCGCGGGCCCGCCGCCCTTTGCCCAGCTGCCCCCGCCGGGCGCTCACCTGGTCGATGTAGTGCCGCACACGCTTCCTGAGCCGCTCCAGGTTCATCCTCGCGCCGTCCCTGGATGGGATCCCGGAGAGCCGAGGGACCGCGGGCCGCCCGCCGGTGCAGCGCCCAAACCCGCCCCCCGCCTGCCTTCCCTCCCGCCCGCCCGCCCGGAAACAGCGCCCCGAGCGCGGCGTTCCGGGGGAGGGGACATCCCCCGCGCGGGCCGCTGGCCCCGCACCCCGCTAAATAAATTAATTCTGAGGCTTCTCTCTGCAGCGCGGCCCCCGGCAAATTTGTTCTGAGGGGCTTCTTCGCAGCTTCGAAGTGCAGAATTGTCTCTGCCAGGTCCCCAGCAGGCTTGAGGGGAAAATATTCCCTCAGGATTTTGCTGCGATGGTGGATGGTGTGCCAGGAGGTTTCCTATGAGTCCTGCATCACCCACTCACTTTTGGTACCACACAGGTTAGGGTATCATTTTCCTCTGCTAAAACGTATCAGCTCTCACTACTGAAAGCCAAGAAACATAAACCCTTAAGTTACCTGATTTGAAGTACTACAGGTGCCAGGCAATACACCTTGGAGCAGGTGTGCCTGGGACAAGGAGAGCAATCACCTGTGTTTGCTTGGATGACGAAGGAAGAGCTGTGTCAGGGTTACAGTGTGGAGAAGGCCACAAAGGAGGCAGCTGTTCAGAAGCAGCCTCCATTTGAGAGAAATGGACCCATGTGCCCTCTCTTGATCTATTTGCAGTAGCTGCACTTCGATGGAAATCTCTTGGATTTCAGTGATTTCCTCCAGTTATTAGTTAGGTCAGCTTTTCACCTCACACTGTGTCACTCTTTGGGGGCTGATTCTTCTCTAGTGCTGTTGAGTGTGTGCTGCAGATGGCAGATACTTCTTTTATGCCTGCAGTAACACATAGATGTATTTTTCTTTTTCTGCCCTCAACTGCTTTTGTAGCTCTGCTCCTTTTTCATGTTTTGGTAACCAAAACATTTTGCTTTGAGGAAAGCAAAATCCTTGTTCATCTTTCCATTAGAACACATGATGAAGAGACTAATCCTTTTGATAGTGGTTTCTTTTGCTCCAACACTCCTATCTAGGGGGCTTTATCGTAATTAGCAACTTCCCTAGCAGGATGCAATAGCAGGATGAAATCAAGTTTTTGTACCTTCAACTCTCTGAAACTTGTGGATTGTTATGACTACTACCAATCCACTCATTGCATTTGATGGTCTAAAAACTCTTTGAAATTACTATGGTTAACAGCATACGCATTCATCAGCTTTTGGATCTTTCTACATACAATAAAAGATATTTGAGCAAGAACTTGATAACATTTAGAAACTGCTGAGTGATGGAACCCATTATTTGGTCATAAGTGGTGCATTTCCCTCAGACTAGGTGTAGTAGTAACTCACCAGAGTTCAATGGCTTCTATTCAGTGTGAGACAACAGGGCAGAAAACTGCAGTAACTCGAAGACAATAGGATGAATTTAAAAATCACAGAATTATAGAATGGTTTGGGTTGGAAGGGACCTTCAAAGATCATCTAGTTCTAGCCCTCTGCCATGGACAGGGACACTTTCCATTAGACCAGGTTGCTCAGAGCTCCATCCAACCTGACCTTGAATATTTCCAGGGATGGAGCATCCATAACTTCTCTAAACAACCTGTTCCAGTGCCTCACCACCTTCACCATAAAATATTTCTTTTTTATATCTAGTCTGGATCTACGCTCTTTTAGTTTAAATATCCCAGTAGAGAAACCGAGTTTGAAATATTATCAAATGCAGACAAAAAATGAAATAAAATATGAAAATTAGGAGTTGGTGCTAACCACTAAGATAAAAGTCTTGTCTGGGGAAATAAAAAAAGATGCACAGGAAGTGTGGGGGTTGGAAGAGAAGAAAGTGCTCTCACTGGGGATGGGTGACGGTTAAGAACCGCCATAGTCACAGGGAGCTGCTCTGAAGCACAGAGAGGACTTGTGACCTGTTGGATCTTGGGGGGGCCCAGGAATGAAGGTCACCTATGAAGGTGAGGAAACAGGCACAGAAATGCACATAGATGTTACTTTGTTAGCATCTATCTAGTTCTGCAGAGTGCATCATCTCATGTTGCTCCATAATGTCTGTGTGTTGTGTGCTGCTTTCTCATGTTCTCTTGAAAATTCATCTTGTCTGAGTGAGCTGTTTCTGGGACGAGCTTGGAGAAAGGGTTGTTTGAGCTATGCTGGCAGGCTACAGCAGTGCTGCCCCAGTGGCTCTGCTGGGGTGGGCTCCAGTCCCATTTCTTCAGTGGGAAGCTGGTCTGACATCAGTGCTCATGAAGTAGCTGGTCACTCAAAGGGAAAATCCTTTATCTGGACAGACTCTCAAGTTCTGCTCCTTCACTGGGAGTTTTGTGGGTGTGTGGTCAAATAGATAGGGCTGACACATGGTGCTGTGAAGAGCAAGATCTTAGTGAACCAGTGGTTGAGGCTTAAAAATTATTTTAGATGTGGAGAAATTTGAATTTTATATAGTTTCAAATAATACATAAGTTTCTCTTTCAGATTCAAAACTAGGAGCCAGCAAAACTCCTCTAATGGTGGTGTTGATATACCTACTGTTTTGCCAACAGTGCTTTTAATGGTTGTGAAGCTATGGAGAGTTGGTTAAAACAAACTGATGTACAAAATTTGCACTCAAGTATCTTAAATCTTAAGAGGAAGGGGAGGGCTCCACAGTCATATTAAAACTTTCTCACTTTGTGTAACCTTCCATATTTTTATCTACTTTCAGATATCTTTTTTCTTTTGTTCTAAAAATGCATATAGCTATCATATGTGTTGGTGCTACCACATAGCTTCCTCCTGATGCTTTTGAGTTACTGTTTCCCAGTGAGTTCGATGCTTGCACATGTATTTTATAGAATCACAGAATGGTTTGGGTTACAAGGGACTTTTACAATCATCTAGTTCCAACACCCCTGCCTTGGGCAGGGACACCTTCCACTAGGCCAGGTAAACTTGATCAAGTTAAAATAAGTATGTTTACTTTCAGTTTGTACATTAAAGAAGTTTTATTTGAAATTGAAATAGCATCCTTGTTTCTGGCTTGAGAACTCTGAAGCAGAGGTGTGTGTTGAGGTTGGAGAGGTTCCCTGAAATGGGCCAGGAATGGATGTCAAACTTTCTGGGAAGTTTTCAGAGACAGCCCCTAACTCAGCTGTTTTGTGCAGATAAGTGGAAAAAGTGAATGACCTTTTACTGCCCTCATTTCAAAACTTTTCGTCTTGATCCCTGCAAGCCCAAGCCCACATGGACTCCTGTTTCCAACCCCATGTTCAAGTACTGCAGACCTGCCAGGGTGCAATGCCCACTTTACAAAGGCTGAGTATCTGAATTGCTCCCATGGTGTGACTCCCTCTCTGCTGCCTGCAGCATGGCTAAATTGGGAAAAAGGTGTAATTTTGATTTTCATAGAATCATAGAATCAGCTGGGTTGGAAAGGACCTCTGAGATCATCAAGTCCAACCCTTGATCCACTACCACAGCATTTTTGATCTCTTTGATTTTGGCCTAAAAAAAGTGAATCTGGAAATGGACTGAACTTGATCAACTGAGAAGACCTGTGGTATGCATGGAGGGAAAGAAGGATGGAAAGCAAAGGAATTGGCTTTTTTTTTTTCATATAGAATTTTATCATCTCCTCTACTTCTAGGCTTCATAGCATGCCATTATTTTCTGTACCTGATCTTTTACTTGGTTGCCCACCATGAACTGCATAAACTGTCAAGAACACAATCTGCAATTAAACTGTCTTTATTTAAATTTTCTACTTCTTATTTTATCTTGACTTACTCAACTGTGCTGCAAATCAGTCCTGCCTCTTCCACAACATTTCACCCATTAGTCACTGTCAAGTAAGTTTGACAATTCTCCAATAGCAGAGTCAGTTCCTGCAAGTTTTGTGGAAGTCAGTGTCAAGATTAGAGATACCTGGACTGACAAGTGCCCCCTTCCCCTCAAGGAAGGCTACAGCTTCAACTAAGAAGTTACCTGTTTGGCCTGCTGGCAGTCCAGTGAGGACATCTATGGCTCTGGATTGCAATCAGAGGTTGTGTCAGAAGGCTGCAAGGACATGGGAGGACAGGGACTAAAGGTACTGTGGAAAAAGGGAAGGTGGGTCTTGGCAAATAATTTGTGGGAGTATGTGGGTCAGTCCATAAGAAGCCAACCTTTGTTGGGTCTGCTGCTCGTAGAACACTTTGTCCTGTGGTTATCTAGGTGATGCAAACCTATTGTTGTGAAGTAAAAGATCATGGTATTTCTATTTGTTCTCTGCAGTGTAGTGGGTTGACCCTGGTCAGATACCAAGGTACCCACTAAAGCCTCTCTATCACCCTCCCTCTGTAACCGGACAGAGGAGAGAGAGAGAGAGAGAGAGAGAAGAAAAACAGCTAAGGATCCATGAGTAGAGATAAGAGAGAGAGAGGTCACTTACTGATTACCTTCATGGGCAAAATGGACTCAAAGTGGGGATAGTACTTACGTTTATTGCTAACAGGATAAGAGACAAAGAGGGAGAAATAAGACAGTCTTAAAAAATACCTTCCCCCCACCCCTCCTTCCTTCCATGTTCTCCCTCCTTCCTGTCAAGCAGTGCAAGGGGACGGGGAATGGGGGTTGTGATCAGTTATTGTTTATGCTGCTGCTCAGGAGAAGAGTCCTTCCCCTGCTCCTGTGGGGTCCTTCCCAGAGAAGACAGTCCTTGATGGACCTCTCCAACTTGAGTCCCTCCCTCAGGCAGCAGTTCTTCCCAGTCTGCTGTCCCATGGGTCCCTTCTTCATGGGGTGCAGTCCTTCACGAATAAGCTGTACCGGAGTGGGTCCTCCACAGGGCCACAAGTCCTACCCGGGAAAAACCTGCTCAGCGTGGGCTTCCTTTTCCATGGGCCACAGGTCTCCGACAGGACTCCGCTCCATCCTGGGCCTTCCGCGGGATCACAGCTTCCTTCGGCATTAAACCTGCTCCAGCACGGGCTCCTCCATGGGCTGCAGGGGGTCTCTGCACCCCAATGGTCCTCCATGGGCTGCAGGGGCACAGCTGCCCCACCATGGTCTGCACCACGGGCTGCAGGG